AGAAAAAAAAAGGTCAGCAGAGATCAGATGTGAATTGCAAAGTGCCAAAGAAGTTTACTGCAGCATCATATTTATTGAGAGGCATGCTATAGATCTGCTCCCTCTCTGCCCAGAATGCTAATAGCATCCCTTTGAATTCTTAATATCAACAGAAAAATCATCGATGATACATGGGATGCTTTAAAACTATTTGGCACCCGCTTTCCCTTTATGATAATCCGAGGGCTCTGCTAAGACCCGGAGACTCCTTTACCCATCTTGTTAATTGTGGATCGCTCTTTCCAGGTCAGGTTTCCACAACGTGACACCTTTCAGCTCGCTGTTTCCTCTCCCATCCATCGCAATATGAGCTTTGCACAGGATATTTATTGCTCCTACCGATCGGGGACACAGTCACGAAAGCAGTGTAAATTGTGCCAGAAATACCAGTGTGATGAAAATTCATGGGGATTCTTCCTCACCTCACTGTATTCCGAGTGGTTCTTGGGGGCGTACGAGCCGCAGAAATAACGAGTTCTGTAAAAGCTCTCTCCAAAGCCCCAGCAGCAGCAGAAGTGTGAATGCAGGAGGGCTTGGCTGGGGGGGAGGCAGCACGAGCCTCCTCCAGCCACCTTTTAGGCCAGCAGCAGGTGAGCAGAGCTGTGGCTGGCCGTGTGGAATCACACCTGGCACACCGCTGCTCCAGCAGACAGAGGAGAAGCGCCAGCGTCTCACCCTGAGACCTGAGGAGCTGCCCCCCGGCCACCACACCTTTGGGGATACTCCCACCAGTGGGGATTTATTTCGGTGCTGCAGCAACTTCCCTCCTGCTGGGGCCTTGCCAGCAGGCACAGGTGCTGTTTCCAGACCAGTCTGCGCCGCAGCTGGGGCTGGGCGGCTTCCACGCCGCGAGGCCGGGGCTGAGTGGGGCTCTGAGCGTGCGGCATCACCACCGAGCGCAATGAACACTGCAAAGGTGCAGAGACTGCGAGCAAGGTGGAGTGAAATCAAAATGGCAGCTGGACCTGGCCAGGAGAACAACGGCAATTTCTACAGTCACTTCCATTTGTTCCAGTATCACTCAACCCAAACCCAGTTTGATTTGATGCCGCGATTTTGCTTTAAGCAGCGCTGTGTGAGACAGGACAGACAGCAGAGCAGATTGCAAACCGATGTCAGTAATTTCAGCGGGCAATGCTAATTCCCAGCACCTGAGACTCAAGTCCTCCGTGCAGCATTGATAGCACTGATTTCAATACTTTCAATAAAGGAAACTTTCTGAACAGCAGGCTGAGGACGGAGGAGGCTCTTCACTCTTGCAGAGGGTCAGGAACACAGCAATTATCGGCTGGCAGTTCCAGCCGCCTGGTAAAGTATGAAGAGTAAAATAAACACGTTGTGGCTCTAAGCTGAGAACAGAAGAGCTGTAATTGTTTTGAAGTTTGACTACTGCCCCGTCTCACCGCACAGGGGGAATGACGCAGACCTTGGTGCATCTTGCTTACAACAAAGGCGCGTGGTGCTCCGTGATTACAGCACGTGTAAGATTCAGGTGTGATCCACGTAAAGCATCAACCATTTCCCCTTGATCCCACCCAAAAGCAGCAGTACCTTGTGCGAACCCCACTGCTGTTCCAGAGCTGGCTTCTGTGAACGTCTGAAGAGGCGCAAGAGCCTCGCTCGTCTTTGCTGGGTGCGCAGAGGCAATTCGGCAGCTCCGACAGCCACATCGTGCCTGGTATCATCCAAGCTGACTCAATAGAGATGTCAGGTTTGAAAAGATAGCAGAAGTCTGCCTTGGAATTTAATTGGCTTACACTTCTGTATATCCTATTTTAAAAGTAAGGCCTTTAAAATGTGATTTGGACGAGAAACTTGTGCAGGGCTTTACCCTGGGCAGTCTCACAGACCTCTCAGCAACAAAAACAGAACGGCTCTTAATACGAGCTGCATATACGGTTGGATTTATGGACTATTCATTATTTTAATAGCACTTATTGACTTAGGGTCAAATATCTTTTTCCAACATTTTTTTTATTTAAGGAAAGAGCCCGTATGTCACAATCTCATGCCTCATCTAATTGGATAAGTGTTTCCTTTGTCCTTGAAACCGAAAAGTAGAATGCGTATCCAGGAGCTACAGAATGAAAAAGCATCTGCCTTTGGTATTTGGCATGCCTCAATTAAAAAACCCGCTGCCTGTGCTATAATTTTTTGAATTCTGACCAGCGCACTTCTGCTCAGATTCAAACAGACAGTTCTGAAGGTCAAGCTTGGGGTATTTAAAACCAAATCCTTTGGAACAATGCTTAGAACATTAATGTTTTACATACAACAGAAAAGAGGCCCGGAACTAGCAGAGCTAAGCTCGTGGTCATGCTGAAATCCAGGGACCGATTCACATGCTCGCTCGTCTTGGAGCGTTTCTGCAGGCTCCTGCTGGACTGCAGTTTAAGTCCGTCTGCACGACGTGGCTCCCCTCCCTCCCATTCCCACGAAGCCAGTGCTCAATATGCACCAAACACTTCCATCTTTAAAAAATAATTGAAAAGGTGCACCCTGAAGTTCACTGGATCGATCCCTCTGAATTATTTTATTTAGAAGACACTTCATTGTGTCAAAGATTTAATGGAGAGGTTACGATGCCCAGCCTTCGGAATGTCAATGCATTAAACTGGAGCCTTGCAGGGAATGTTAAAATCCCCGTAACGTATGCCCAAGCAAAACTGTCAGATTTTTGAAATATGAAAATTCTTACGCGGTTTAGATAAGACCCAGACTGCTGAGGAAAAGGAATATAGCGGCCAGAATCCTTCTGTGTGTGTCTTACAAGAACAGGGGTGAAATTGAGCAGCCTCTCTCCGGACTCCTTTGCCTTTCCCTTACATCCCTTCGAGTGCTCACTTCCCCGCCTGTGCCTTCGGAAACGCATGCGTTTTTACACCAGCACTACTTCCCGGCATACGTGATTAAATACCTTCCCCTGTTATTTATTGCCTATTAAACACCATATCTTCGGCATGTACCTTCACCAGACAAAGATCTTCGCTATCAAATGCAGACCTCAGCATGTCTTAGGCCAGAGCAGTTTACTGCAATGGTCTCTGCGTGGGGCTGCAGCTGAGAGCACTGAGAAAGCTCCAGCACTGCAGAGCAGGGCTAGCTGCTTAGTAAGCGGCACCGCCGGTGTCTGAGAATTACCCGGCTTTGCCACATTTTACATTTCTTGGTACATGTGATAAGGCCGTAATACAGAAGATGTCCAACGGATTTTTATTTCTCTCCTTGGGGAACGTCTCTCTTCGGTGCTGCCGGAACGACTGCGATCCTCCAAAGTACTTCGAGGCTGTAAAGTTTCAAGTGAAACGGAAGGGCGGGGGAAGGAATGACAAGTCCTTTTTACTGAAATTCTCTCCCCAAATGGATTTGGCAGAGCCCAGCTCTGCTGATCTTAAAGCAAGGTTTATCATTTGTGCAGGCTGCTGCCTGAAGGGGGAACAGATCTTTGAAGTTCCTGAATGATGGAAGGGGTCTCCCCCCGCTCTCGCTCACACACATTTTTAAAGGGCGGAGACTGGGAGATGCTCAACTGCCCTGAGTCAGGAAATTACACGACAAATTAAACAATTATGTGTTTTAGTGCCGAGCGTCTATTTCGACACTCGGCGCCAAACATGCATTTAACATGAGTTCCACGGGCATCGACAGCTCCCCATTACCTGTAGCTCTGCGTTGCGTGGCTTTCCTGCACGTTGGGAGCCCCCCCACCACAGCATCTACACCTTGGAGAGATTTCTTTATCATTTATTACACAAGGCACTGCCTGGACACTGTTGGAGTGACAAGGACTATTTCCTTAATTACTGTACATTGATAATAGCATTTACTCTGGCAGCTCCAGTGCTATTCAATCAAGCAAGATTCAATACAAAAAAGCTGATTTGCCAAAAAAGAGATTAGCATAAGTGCCTACAGTCACATTCTATTTTTGAAGGTAAAGCTACTGTGTCTGTGAGCTTGCTTGTGGGAACTTTATAAAGAGAGATTAATCTAGTTTATCTCCTTCAAAAGATATTTGGGGAAATGACAGAGTCAGTGTTTAGGTTCGCGATAACGTTTTTTTATAAACATGTAAAATAAAGAGCTGCACAGAAAGTGCTTATCAGGAGCAGGAAGGTGTATTTTTTTCTCTAAGGCGAACGTAGATATTTGTTGTGAAAAATTCCGTGTTCCCCGGTTTGCCGTTGCTGTTCTTTGTCATTTGATCAAGTGGTGACTGTAGCTGTTGCACTTTAAAATTAAATGCTATTATTTATGGTAGAACTTGTGCTAGTTAAAAATGCAGACCTCAGCACTATGTACGTTTGTAAGCAGAAGGTTAAGCAGGACATTTTAAATGGTAAAGCAAAGGGCTTAATCAAGGCTGAAGAGCAAAATGCAGTGGGATAACAGATACAGTAAACAGGCATTAATCACCATACAGGCTTAATCCAGGTATTAGGCAGTCTTGGGGCTAATATGAAGACTCACTTGCATAAGGGCTCATTCTATCAACTCTTAAAAATGTGAATAACTTTATTCTTGGGAGAAATTTCGTCCAAGTTAAAGGCACTTGCAAGACCAGGCCCATAGTGTGCCTTTGTAAAACGGTCATCACACAATTATTTTGCCTGCAGGGGATTTCTGAATTAGAAGACACGTGTAGGGGTGTGGCTCAAGAAAGGAAAAAATTGAACAGCCGGAGCATCGGGAGCCACTTCTCCAGGCTTTTTCCCTTGACACTGTCTGTTACTGTGACATCGAAATCCAAGCTAAGCACTTCTTGCCAAGGATGGACCAAATAACACCATGGAGCCAGTATCATCTCAGGGGAGACCGCTCGCTGTCTTAGTGACAAATTCAGTCACTACAAATCCAGGCTTGGAACATAGTCCTTCCCGAGCCATAATCCAGTGCTTGCAAACTGTGTTTAACCACTGATGAACTAAAACTTCAGTTTCAAGAAGATAATAGCACATCCATAAGTATGAAACTCACTTTTATTAGGTGTTTAGAAAGGTTCAAGTGCTTCCACATTTAACTTAACATCAAAAATTCCCCATCTCCGTATGAACATACACACCACGTGCACTGACGTCCTGGCACGCAACCCCCATCCTCCAGCCCAAGGTGGGTTTTGGCGTCCTGGTCAATTTTGGCTCACCTACCCCTACCGCCACCTACCCCTGAAACGGAACCTGTAGGCTCAGGGCAAGCCCAACGTGAGCTAACCTGAGGAAAGGGGAAGGAGATGGAAGTGGGGAACGGGGTAGATGGCCACAGTTTATCTATTCAAGGAACAGCAAGATGAAAAAAAATCCACAAACCTTTAATTGTGAATGTAGAAGAGGGACAGTGATGTAACTGTTCCCAGGGAACACTATTCTTATTTTGTAGAGGGAGGTGAGCCAAGATACTTAAGCTCTAGAGAACCTTTAACACAGGAAGCTATTTATCATAACAAGCTTGGTTGATACTGCTCCCATACTGAACCAATTAGATTAGCCTATTTCGTCATACTTCATAACTTGGGATGATAGGTTTCCAAGCATGGTACAGTGCAGTAATTGAATTTTGATCAAACACACATGGCCCATAACCCAGTATGTGAAACTTTCAGAACAGTTCACAGCTTTTAAATATCCAGTCAACATGTTGCCAAAAGTACAGGATGTACTTGATGCAAGTGGGAGAGGAGGGGGGAGCACGAGTCCACGCCGTAACTTGGTACAGCTGTAAAACAAACATTTTTTTGTTCCGATTCTGTTCCTACTTTAGCAAAAGAGCTGGGAGGAAGACAGTGAATGTCAAGTAAGTCGTTTTTCTCCCCAGCCCCCACGCCCCCCAGGCACACATTTCCCTTTTAACATTCTTAGATTACCACAACCTTTTAAATTCACTATACTGTACTTTCATACTGTATTAGACACACCAGCAATTATGTTTGTTAGCATGACACATCCATTGCTTACACTTAGTTAACAAAATAACTTAAAAGTCGCATGCATCATCCTCTTAATAGGGTTATAATCAATGGGACCATGGAATGAAAGCCCTAAAAATTACCCCCCACCTCTGCATTCCCCAGGCTTCTGCCTCTGCCAACACAATCCATATGTTGGGCAGTCTCTTCGGGCTCAAGGTGAACACCCAGTCAGTGCTTTGCAGTCCGTGCTCTCCTCTTACACGTTCTTGCTGTTTTCTTCACAGTAAATCCGAGGACCTGAGGAAGGTTCTGTGTAAAGGAAACAGAATGCATTAATAATTTCATTCCCACCACTCTCCTGACTCGAGGGCAAAGCACCCTCTGCAGAACAGGTTCACAACGAGGAGTTTTGTGCTACTTTATTCTGAGCCAGCCAAACCTGAGCTGCTCTCTGGCCCACCCCTGGCAGCCTGGCACGCTGGAGCAGTGGGGCAGGATAACCCCGGGCGCTGCCAACTTCCTTCTCGTTTGAATGCTTCGACCTGAAAGGCAGTCGGAGGCTGTGCAGCTCTCCCAGCACCTCGGGCATCTCAGCTCCCCGAAAGGGAAGCATCAGGGCAGCCAGCACCTTGGTTTTAGCTGAGGTGGTGCAAGAGACATAAAAGCTGGCAATTACTGCGACAGCCCTCCGAAGGATGGAGGTTTACCCCAGTGCTTCTGGTTGCACTCCGTGGATCAGCTGCCTCCAAGACGTCTCACACACCTGCTCTGGAGTGCAGCTGTGTAAGAGAAGCAGCCACAGGTTCCAAGGGGAGAAATGGTGCTTTCCAGAGGTAACAAAACGTGCATCTCGCTCTGTCCTGCCACTGGTTGGGGACAGGTACATCGCACAGGTACAGCCACCCCTGTCTGAGACAGAGTGCAGGAGGATGCGCTGGAACCCTTCTCCCTCCCCGCCCCACGCCTGACTAAGTTATGATGCTGCAGAGAAAATTAAAAGAAAAAAAAAGAAAAAGAATTCAGTGTTCAACTTATCAAACTTGGTCCAAGTTTCAGCTCAAACCAAGGTTAAATAGGCCTGTTCTAAGCCTCTTAGAGATAGGATTTATATAGTAATTACAGTAATGGAAACTGATCTTTATAATTTTTATACTGCCTAAAATTCTGCTGTGTCATATACATCTGCAGAGCCCGAGAACTGTGCTTCTCGGCGAGAAGCACTGCAGTCTTGAAAGCAGCCATTCAAATGTATAATGGAGAATTATCAGAGCATGAGGACGTCTGAGATATAATGAACCGCAAAGAATCTGCAATCCTGGAAAAGTGAGGAGCGCATAGTTGAGAAAAGCAGCATTTTTAAACAGTTCATTTTGTTTAAAGTTTATGGAACTGCGTCCTCATCACCCATGCTATGAACTGCACTGAGAATGCCCCTTTTATTTTTATATTTCTTTTATTTTCCTTTGCTGCAGTTTTGGGTCTAGAGTGAGAGCACAGTGCAAAATGCACCTTGGCCAGACACAATCCCCCTGCTCTTTCCAGTTTTCTGTCGTGCAAGGAAAAATGCAGGAGTGCTAAGTCTTTGCTGTACGGTAAAGAACAACTTCAGGAGATTTGGAGATCTGATAGGGGGTTTGGCTCCACCTTCAGGAAGCAGAAGGCAAAGAGACAACATAGTTTTAAGTTTCAGACATACTTTCTGCTGAAACTAAAGCCTACACCCCCCTCTAATAGACATCTATTCCTCCTCAACGCGTTTTTGTTTCATACATATAAAATATTCCCTGACCTGATGCCCTGACATTTCCACAGATCTGATTCTGCTAGGAGAGCCCGACTCCTCCTAGAGGTTCTTGAGAACTTGTGAAAGGATGCCTGAAAACAGCCGATACGTGAACAGAGCTGAGGTATGAACAAAGGACAAAGAAAAGCTGCTTTGAGGTGAGAAAAAAAAAAAGTGTCACACATAGGATGTTGTAGTCCTGCATCAAATATTATCAGTCATTTACACTCTCCGTGCTGAGGTTTCCATGGAGCATGAAGTTTTCTCTGAGAATTCACAGAGATTGGAAAGGTTCTCTGGGTAACACAGACGGACTGAGAGGAAGAAAGCTGGAAGAGTTGATCACATTTCAGTCTAGCAAAACACACAAGCATATGCCTAAAGTTAAGCTTTTTCCTCCCCAGATTCTGGCAGCAATTGCAGAAGATGCAAACAGACTAATCTCTTGTATTTTACCATCAGCAGACTCCGATGCAGCTTGAAATAACAAACACCCAGAACACAGGAGCTGGTTAAAAAGCGTGGTTTAAATGAATTAAAATGCCACATTTTTTTTTAAAAAGCCCTATAGTGACCATTTATAATGATGAAAATGGCAAAGTAGTTAGAGATGAGGCTATGCTGAGTTTGAAAGACTATGATGTTATCAGTGAAATAACAAGAAATCACCCAGTTAGTGACGGGCAATGGAAATGGTTGCTTGCAAAATCTTGCCTTTGGCATTTCCCCAACGGGGTGCGCAAGTACCCAACCCAACCTTATTGCAGCCAACATCTTTTTCTGGAGGAAACAGGTTCCAAAAGTGCAGAGCAAGCAACAGGAATGGCTCTCAAATGGAATAAACACCTAATGAATCTAAAAATAATAATAATAAAAAACAAAAACACTGAGAAGAGATGGGAGAAGACTGAACAGACAGAGCCGTGTAAGCAAATACAACTGAATATACTCCTGAGGAACAAAGGAAACAATTCTTGATGGGGTGACAACAGATGTTCTCCAAAAAAATTCTAACGGAGCATTTCAAACACAAAGACCTTCCTGTGGAGCTGAGAAGTTTTTCTGGCAGCCATGCAGCAATACATCTTCGGAAACATAACAAACCCTACCATTTGAGGTGCTATCAGGTCCTGAAAGCAGCAGTGACATCTTCATGTAGTAAGTGGTGGGTGGTGGTAGAGAGGGAAACAGTTAGGATAGCAAAATACTGTCATGGGAGGTTGCTGTAGCAGAGTCTTGATTTAAATGGCTGTAGGAAGAGGTAATCAGAGAACTTGGTCTAGAAAAGCCTTTTGGAAATGTGCTCTGTACCCAACTGAAAGGTACACAGGCTGACCTAATGGAATAACTACAATGCAGAGTAATTTATGGGTCATGGAGTTTCACCTAAGTGCAACCACTTGTACTGTGTGAGTGTAGTACGCAAAGTGCCCAAGGCCAAACGCTCCTACTAGCTGCTGCCCCACCACATCATGGTTAAGCATATTGCAGAAAATCCTCCTAAAATGTAGACTGAGAAAAAAAAAAAAAAGGTTTATGGAGCCATTTTTGCAATGCCTGAACTGCACTGGTACTTTGGGAAGATTTGGATTTAATTCCTAGCTTGGATCTGCAACATCTTTGCTGAGTGGCTTTATATAGGTTTTTTAAGGTAAGGCACTTCAAAATTCTTTTTTTAAAACTCTGGCCTTTACTTTTTACACTCTTTTTTTTCTTTTTTTAAAGATAGAGAATAATGCTTCTTTGTCTTGTTGGAATGTTGAAAAGATTCCTGAATATCTGCAAGGCAAGCAGATACCATTTTATCCGGGAACAAGGCAGGAGGATGACACAGTACATTGTCTGACTGTTTTCAGTGCTTTGCAACTGTTTTTAAGGAAAAGCTACAACCAAGAGAGATTATTCCAGTGCAGCAGGAGCAATCAGAACCACAGAAATACTGAGATGGACAACTTGATTGACAGGTGAATGCTAAAGCAGGCAGCAACACAGGAAATCATCATAGGACAGACATTTTGATAAATATTACTGTAGCCAATTTATTATTAACACAGTGGGACAGCTTTACATCTTGCATCACACTTTTCACAGTCCTTATGGTAAACATGCCATATCTGACAATTACAAGATGAAAACAAAGACCTCACTAACTCTCTGCTGGCCCTGCAGCACTATCTACTCGCTCAGTTAACCCTCTCTAAACTTCAGCGGTGCAACAAAACGAGGATGTTCAGATACACAACGTAATTCATATCGGATCTGATACAAGTTGCAAAGCTCGTGCCATCTGCGACACTGATTTCTAAGATTTCACATAAAACAGAGATGGTTGTGAAAGAAGTGGAAAGTTGTTAGTATAGGACAGAGGACCAAGTGGAATGCCATCTCAAGGGAATTAAAGTCTTGCCAAGGCACAAAATACTGTTCTGTCTGGTCACCCTTGGCTCCATTCTCACTGCTATGACCAAACAGGGCACTCCAGAGCAGAACGGGCACCAGTATCACTAGCAGAGGCCTGGGATTTAAGAACCCTACTTTTTGTTTTATTCCCTAGATTGGTTCTAGATACGTGTTCTGTTTCTGCAGAAACACCGTAAATTAAGTTGGAATAACCACTCCTCTCTCTGCTGTTCACTTTATTTCTGGAATCAACAAACTATCTGATGGACCTCGTAACTAATCATATTTTCATCTGATTCTCACAAAATAGCCCCCACATTCTTTTATGGATAATGAAGCACAAGATGGACTGCTGCAGTCACTAAGTCAAGCCCTCTGCTACTTGTACACATGGAGATGCATTTCAAAATGAAATCTTGTGCGACAAGTTCCCCAAGGGTTGGTTTGTTTTATTTTGTTTTTTTAATTGAATTGCATAGTATCTTCCTATTCTCAGAGCTATATTATCAGCTTCAGGGTTAAAAAAGAAAAAGCAGACAAGTCACAGGATGATCTGTGCCATGGGATTTTATTTGATTCAAACATTTATTTTCCATCCACTTCCTGTCTGTTTTTGCAAGTGCATATTTCAGGAAACAAATCTGACATGCACAAAGAGCATTCAGTGAAAGACAAAAAGGGAGATGCGACAAATATCAGGCAAGAGAACAAAGCTAACAGAGTATTCTTGTCTCTTTGAGTCCACGAGTAGAATTCACGTTAGCAAGTGTTCCAAAACTACGTCTGAGTGAAAGAAGGAATGAATGTTAAGCACAAAGTGCTGCAAGTGGTTGATTATCATTATGTGGTATGTCAGGTTACACTGATTTGGAAAAAAACAGGATTTCTTTACAAAGCTCTCAATGCACCAAGTCTTAACTTAGGTTTAAAAGAGATTGAAACCATGAACTACACTTTAAAAAAAAAAAAATCAATTTAGCAATCTGATTTTTGCATTCCCTCAAAAATACTTGTTGCGGACACATTAACAACATTTTGAAAGTTTCATCAGAAAACCAGAAGAATAGCCCGAATTATTGAAAAAAATCAACACTAAAGTTTATATAACATGGGTTTCTCGTTCACTTACTGCCAGTTTCCACAAGAAGATGAAGGCAATGTTTAAAATTGGTCAAATAGCATCAAGATTCTGTTGACATACTTCCTGTCACTGTGTGTGTATACTTTTATTTGAAGGAACATCCATGTAAACCTTAGTTGTCCTAGAGAACTTAGTTTAAATGCTTTAAGAATTTATTCTTTATTAAGAAATTAATTAAGAATAACAAAATTTATTTCACTGGAACACAACCGATTAAAAAGAAAAATATTTTAAGGGCTTTATTAACAAAAAACTATTTTTTGACATTCTGTAGACCATATGTACCCATTTCTTTTCAAGAAAAAGAAGGTTTGTCTTTCACTGTGGACGGTTGTAAGGGAGGAAACAAACAAACAAACCAAAATAATCACAGCATTTACGTCCTATTCTAAACTCTCTGCAGCCCAACATTCATCTACCTTCCTATTTTGAGATGTGTCACCCATGGTTCTATTTTTTATGCCTACTTATTCGTACTGCTGATCAGCATTGACCAAATTTTCCAGCTTCACCAAAAATTCTCTTTAAGCTTTACAGAAAGAGTTCATTCAATTAATAGGATTTCACAGAATGTGTTGGCACAAGTTGTAGAGCCACTTGGATTTTAACTAGCAGGGTACAGAGAAAAGCAGTTTCCATGGTTTGGGATATTTCAGTTCACTTCCAAACTGCTACTCATAGTTCTGAAAACAACCCCTGAGTGTAATCCTGGCCCATCCACGCTAAAACTTTCATCAGTTTCAATGGAGTAAAGATCAGTATAGTTGTTCTGAACAATCCTTTCCTTGCCTCTCTATAACCCCCTAAATTACACCGACAGAGACACAGAACAACACCAGTGCAAATTGCAGAAGTCTGCACATTTCACAATGGTACAACTTCACAACCTTGTACACGCTCACAGAAACAGAGCAGTCAAAGGAACTTGGCACCTTTGTAGTAAACTCATTCACTTGATGAATTTTCATCTTTTGCCATCTTTGTTCAATGGACATTTAATATTCAGTTCTGATGAAGTGCAATTAATAAGTCATCAGCGACTTCAGTGGACGACTGGATCCATCTGTAAAGTAAAACGCACTTACACAGACACGAGACACTTACTGCCAGGGTTACGGGTAGCTCTGCATTTTCCTGAATGTTGCATTGGTAATCGTGAGCCGCGTGAGCCTTGCTCCGTAGTAGTCTATAATGTAACTAGAGCCATCAGAAGGTCCAACAATCTACAAGAGAAAAAGAACCAAGACTTTTCAATACAAAGTGAAATATACACTTTGTGCTAATGTCTCAATTACTGCTAATTTTCCCATCATAAAATTAGTCATGCTTAATTAGTCAAACAGAAACTAGATTTATTTTGAAGTTATGCTGTAGTTTAACTATTTTAGAGAGCGCTGTCTCAGACTGAACATTTCCCTGGGGCTTCTAATCAACCAAATTACACAGCCAGGCGCTGGTACTAGGTTAAGCTGATGAGGATTTGAGTCACAAAATCAGGCTTACAAACGAGTGGGCTCCAAACCACTTTTCTTGAACAAAGGAAAGTAGGTAGGAGATAATTAGGTTGATGACAAGTATCTTTGAAGTACTGCACAGGTAAGAAAGAGAGATGGAGAGAAGATCATGGCTTATTTGTTCTGGGAATGTTAAATTGATATAGAGTCACCAGGGAGATGAATAAGGGGAGATGAACGATACTCTCGGTTGTGTCTGTAAGTGACATGAGGCAAAATCACAATGATAGTATAAAAGGGAACTTGAGGATACACGTATTTTAAAAGTTAAATATTTTTCTATAAACCCATACAAACAATTTCTATATCCTCAATGCATTCTGAGTTCATCATGGGAAACAAATCATTTGTGCTATATGGCTGCACTGTAAAATAAGAGAATTTGGCAATTTCACAATTTGGCAATGTCACAAGAGGTCACCCCAGCCAGGGATTTAACCACCAAGAATCCTACAGTAACAGCTCTTGGGTGACACGGGACTTATATTTGAAGAGGCAGGGGAAAAAAAGTGGCAGTCTTCTCTCCCGCACACTGCCTTGAAACCCCGACGATAGGCTCCATCAGTAACAAAGCCCATGCAAATGCTGAACTTCAGGATTCTGGGAACACCAGACTTTTTCTCATGAAAAGTCTAACACTGTGTCTCACAAAAAGAGCCTGTAGGTTCTGACAAAGTGAATTCACAGTGAAACAGCTTCCAAGCTATTCATTTTAAGTATTGCAAGACAGCTAATTTATCTAATTTTTCGTACAAGCAACAAATACATTTTGTATCTATATTCTACAATGTTAATCTATAACCACAGCTAAAATAGATGCCTTGACTTTTCAAGACACAGAAGTTCTTAAGGCTAAAATGCTAACAAAGAATTAGTAATCAAAACTTTAGCAAATGCAGATTTGTATCTTGCTTTGAAAGCACCGACTTACCTGCATTGAAATCAGTATGAAATCAATTAGGCTACCAATTCCACAAAACCCTACTGTGCAGAACTTTAACAAACCTGAAAAAAAAAAAAAAATTAACAGTAGCTTTAAGCCAGCGACTATGAAGCTCACATTGCTGGTTGCAATCACACCCCAACCCTCCGCTATATGTACAAGTCTAGAAACAGAACTGAAGTTATAGATCATTAATTGTCAGGGAATAAAAAAGATATATATATGTATATATTCATATTTCTGCATCCTGAATACACTTGAAAGATTTTAAACTAACAACTTTTACTAGAACAAAGAAATACTCTTAAACAAGACAAAAGTTGATAAGCAAGTTACTGGAAAATTTCCCTTCTTTGATCAAACAGAGAAAAAAAAATCTAAACTTGAGCTGCAAAATTTACTTATGAATAGAGGGAGACTTTCTATCACCTCTTGAGTTGCTGCACACAGTGATTTGATTTCAGAACATGCTACTTTGGCAAACCGTTTTAGTATCACTTTTCTATTTTTGCTGAAATAGGAATTTTATTTGAATATATTTATACACATATATATAGAAACACTTCTTTTTAAGCAGTATTCAAAAAAAGTTGTTTTTTGTGCAAATAAATGAAAGAGTCATAGAAAACATGGGAATAGCAACTAACAGATAAATGTTTCATGGGAAGTTGCAATGAAAGGCAGACTACTTTTCGTGCTTTCAGAAGACTGATTTAACTTTTTTATTTAATACCAGTAGTTTCTTGTACAATGAGTGTAATACAGTGAGTACTATATATATTACAAGATAACACTTAGCTGAGCTAGGCAAACATTGACGTTACTTAAAGATTAAAAGGCATTTGTCTCTTTACCTAGGAACAGCCAGTACGAAGAGGAATGCCTATCTGTTGCACTTCAGTCAGTTCCAGGCTATGCTGTTCGGGGGAAACACAGTTCCCCGCTAAAAAGCAGATCCTTACTGTGCTTACAGGGCCCAGCACACTTTGAGGCAAGAAACAAGCACATTGGTAACATCGGCCAGTGCAGCCTCGCATGGCACCTCTTCCCCAAGGGAGCTGGCACAGCAACAAGTTGTGTTGTGCTGCACAGTGCCTGGCAATGAGAAAGCACAGCAGTTTTCCAAAGGATGAGCCTGCTCTCACTCAAATACCTGAAGGTCTCCTGACCTCTTCCTTTCAGTTCCCTCTCTCTCCGAAGCAGCAATCTGTCCAGAACACCACCTCTGCTCCCCAGTGCCCCATTTGTGCGGCTGCACAGGGAGAAGTGTGGCAGGATAGCTGCTTGCACACTGTGGGAAGAGCATCCCACTGTCTGCAGATAGCTCCCATGGTTGACAAGATGAAGCTGGCTGATTTATAAACTCTACGGAGGCCGTTTATCATCATTCCACGGACCGACAGTACAGTCAGAACAGTGAACATGTATCTAATGACCAAGAGGATGAAGGAGTGATAGCAGGATGGTCTTTCAGCTGATTAAAAGAAAAGCCTATGCGCATATTACAGCTGAAGTTGCGTCACTTAAATGTGTAAAACCTCAGTGTATCAATGTTTAAAATACCTCATTCCCAGGGGCTGACGTGTGAGACTTGCAGCAGCCAGACATGGTTTGCCCGGCTATCAGTACTGGCATAGCGTAACAAAACAGAAGGGAAACAGCCAGCTAAATAAATACTGGCCTTAGGAAACTGCAGTTAAAACAATTAAATAATATCAAATCTTTGGTGAACACATTTAGTTTGTTATTATCTCTGAATCAAGTGCGGTCAGCATTTAAAACACTTATTTGTGATGCTCATTCTGCCACCTCCTCTCAGGCTTCAGTCCTGGACCTCACCCTCAGCTGGCACTGCTGGTCCCAGCTGCTCCAGTTCACTTGAGGAACTGGCTGCGTCCCGCGGAGCCGTCCTGCAGTACATTACTGGATGCAGAACTATTTCTGAACTTGGCATACGTTTCTGGAGTGCAGGGTAAAGTTGATTTTTTTTTTCTTCCTCCTCACTTTCCTCCCCAACAAGCAGATCACACTGAGAAAATAAACTGCTCTAAAGCATGGAGGGAAAAAGCAGTGCTCTTAGGCAGTAATAACTTCTGGTTTAGTTCACAGTGTGTGGGAGAGGAAGAGATTGCCTTCCTGGCTTCTTCACACTCAATAGCATGTTTGCATTTGTGCTCTCTTTAACCAAAAGAGAAGGCAAAAAAGCGAAGGAGCATTTACAGTCTTCATAATTCTTGCACAAAATATTTCAATGTTATTCCCTTTATCATTTTTGCCAAAGCATGGATGACCTCCAGAAATATTTACTACAGTCAAGGAATCCAACCTACTGATTTTATTTCTCTTTTCTATTCTTACCTATTTGCTTTTTCCTTCTTTGGCTTTCAAAAGCTTGAGAACCTGTCTTTAGAGGAGTTTAATTTTACATCTGTTAACTCTGGTTACAGTGTATTCCAGTGGGGTTAGCAAACATGAGCCATACAGCACTTCTATGTAAGAACAGAGTATTTATAAATCTACAGTACTGCAGTATAACTACAAAATAACTACTGCAAATTATTATTCCAAATCCAGTGATATAACAAAAGGTGCACCCGAGTGACTGATTCCCAAAATAATACTTCTTTGTGAAAGAGATGGACAAAATAAGTGCTAATTATAGAATTTCAAGGAAAAGAGACACAGGTGTTAACAAAAGATTAACTGGAAAGACAGATAATGTTAAAAAACATGAGGGTTTCTACTGGATGGGCAGAAACTCAAAACTCCCAGCTGAAGGGACAGCAACATGTATAGCTTTTTCCAATTCACTGCTCCACACTATCTAGACTTTATATTTACTCCATTTGTCAGGCTCATAAACAAAGAAAATCCAAGACAGTAAAAGTAGTTCTAACATACTAACGTATTTGCATTACTTAAAAGCCATTGGCACCATCACCCTGGGAATCAAGTCCAAAAAGCAGTAAGTAGAGGTAGATCTTATTAAAGGTCCCAGCTTCTGCAGAACTATTATTAATACTATGAGCTATCTTGAAGGCATTCGTTTGCCAGAATAAATTCCATATCCCAAAACACTAGCTTTACAGTAAAGTTTACCCTCAATTTTCCTGTTAAAATCAAGCATCATCAAGCAGCTGACACATCAGTCAAAACCACTCCTGTTGCAGTGGCTCACAGAGAATGCAGTGCTAAACATCAGTGTCAAGCAAACGTAAAGCAAAATGAATGACAATAATCATGTTTGCTTGTGAGGCAACCGCATATCCATTTGTCACCACTCACTCCAACAGCATAGGAGGCAGAGGTACATGATCCAGGATCTTATTTGCAATGAAGTAAGGATTCTAGTTGCAAATATAAAAACTACAACAGTCAGCACTTTTTATTCAAAATGCAAGTACACACAAATAACTCAGTCATTACAATATGCTTTAACACAAAGAAAAAACAAGAAATAAACTTACCTAAGGCAGGATAGCCTAGATAAAATCTATCTGCTCCCAACCATCCCAGAAATAAGGACAGAGCCACTGCCACTTTGTAGGAGTATCCATTTCTGCCAAAAGAAACAAGGAATGAGACAACGATTGCAAGACAGATTCACTCATAGTTCTGAGAATTAAAGCAGTGACTCATTTGCCTGCTGCTTCAGTTAAAAAAAAAAATCAGATTTGTTATTTATCTTTAATTAACAGAGACAGGATTGATAATGTTACGCTTTCAAACTTGCTAGGCATCCCCCATAAAGCAACCTCAGCTGTCACAACTCAAGCACACTCTTGCAGAATACCGATTCTTACGACTCTTATTCTGAAATTAAATCATCATTTCTTGTCAAGAAAGACATAATTCAGTTGCTGATCCATTCCCAGTTTTACAGAGCACTTCCCAATAGCTGAGACCTATTGAGACAGCCCTGGAAAGCTCTGAGATGTGCGCGTACTGTCTGTAGGCATTAGTCTCACACCCAGCCAAATAGAGAGGAACAGGGTAGACAGGTGAGATGTCAGCAGAGACAGTAATTGCGATGAGATTTGAAGGAGAAATGAACCATGGCCACCGGCTGAAGAAGCCAGAAGGATTCAACAGAGGGAAAGACATGTACCTATCCCTGTGCTGCACACCGAGGGCAGTAAATGGCACGCACTCATGAATGGAAAGAACTGAGAACTGCGCAAAGATGCACAGTAGTAGGCAGACACCTTGAAGTTAAACGCCCTGTGGTTAGCCATACACAGCACTCAGACACAACAGGCTGCCTGAGATTTGTACTGACTGGCACCATTCTTGCCACCAGTTGGAGCGATGTGGCCACCTAACCATCAGTAATCTTCACTCACTGCCGATGGGGCTTTGCACTAATAGCAAGCTAGGAACATCGAGCTATCAACTGTAAAACCATCCTTTGCTGCACCGGTGAAAAGCTAGCTTGTGAAAAGAACAGAAACCCAAATCTAATTAGAACTTAAAAAAAATAATCAATAATTCACTGTTCTGATATGTGCACTAATATGTGCCAGCAATTACTTAATAAGCCCAAATTAAACTCTCAGTTGACAGTTGAATAAAACATGGTTTCACAAAAGACAGTAGCTGAGAACGCTCCAAGCACCTTTATTAAGCACTTTCAATGCCAAATAAAGATCTACATTTTTGCTTATTATCTAGATTTACTGACTTTAAAACTTAATGGCAACATTAAGTGATTAAACCGTGACTCTTACCTCAATATTTGTTACTTAGTGCTTATTAGCAACACAGAACATACCAGGCATTTCTGGAACCTGATGTAATGTAAATTATCAGCTTTAGAACTGCCATGTTTCCACTGTAAAGAACACTAATTGTTTTATGTAAAAGTTGAGGTAAACTGTTGGGAAATGTTTATCAACTAAAAAGTGTCAACAAACCTTTCAAGGACACTAAAGCCTAGAAACAGCATTTGCATAGAAGGTGGGAATGCAATCTGAGATGCTTCTGATCAAAAACAGTCAGAAAGTAAACTTAGCACTTGTGTCTGCATTGAGATGCTGTTAGAGGGAGCGCAGTCTGCAACTTCAACACCACCAACCTGAGGGGCAGAAGAGATCTAGTGTGAAGTGGAAGCACGTTAACACTCTAACAAGGCTGCCTCCACTCTCGTCCTTCGTCTTACTCATTCTTTCAGATAAAAATACGTGCTGAAGAATTAACCAGCAAGCAGGAAAATAACACTTCCCGCTAATCTAAAGGAATTTCTACAACTGGGTAAAAGATGCAATTTCTTTTCAGTTGCTCTTTGATTTTTCTCATGCTTCATCCAGTCTTTCTTTGTACATTTCTCGCATAAACGCCTTTTCCTCCTGCTGGCCATGCCCGTTGATACTACCCATAGTACTGCTGCACGTGCCAGTCGCCTCTGTGCTCTCTCAGGGTCTCAGCACTGCTCAAAGACCTGTCCACGTGGAACTTCAGGGCTTCTGCAGACTGCCATTTGATGGACTCCTTGCTTAGAACAATGATGCTGGCACAGGGAACATTTCAAGCCTGCAGAATCAGGGCCATATATTTGCATATTAAGCAAAATACATGACAGTGACATGACAGAATCTGGCAAAAATCTAGCTCCAAAACACTAAATTAGAACCCAACCAATCCCAAATCCCAGTCCTTTGCTGTAGTGACCTCGCTAGTAGTTACAAGCTATTCCTTGAACAAATACTAGGAGTGACTGAACTTGAACACATCCTCATACACAAACAGAACAGGATCCTAGAGCTGTAACCTAGACTGCTGCTAAATTAGGATGTTGGCTGAGGACAACACGCTGATTTGCTCCTTCCTAAAGCTAGGGATAGAAATTAACCTGCTGTCCCTACACAGGGGCAAGCCCGCTGCGGGAAGATACCTACTTAAACCAATTTTCTGGTTAAATGATGTGCAGTCATTTTTGCCGATATTATGCAGGTATTTTTCACCAAAACTCAGGTAAGATGTTGGAAAAATCTCCAAAATCTCTCAACAACATGCTTGCATAAATCCTCCTAAATTCTCAGTTGAACTTTACTAGAGGTTTCAGCATACCCACAACAGGTCCTCTTACCCCTGTGCCACACAAGCAGTTGTGGGACTGGAAAAGCCACGGCAAGTTATTTTGGTAGCTTAACCACTGGTAATTTCATCACAAATAATAGCCACCACAAAGTAACAGACAACATAAGAATAATATTTTTCTGCCTACATAGATCTGTGTTGTTTTTTTTAATTCATAAAGAAAATACAAATTTTACAATGTTTCTAAAAAGTACGTTAAACCAAAAATATATACAAAAAATTCAAACACAAGAATAACTTTCTATTTTAAAGAGGAGGCAATTTCATTAAACTAGTGTAGCTCATCTTATTCTCAGCCCCCATCACAGATGGGACTGGAACGCAATTGTTTCTGGACAAAAATGTGACTGAAGTCTCGTTTGCTAGCATTTAAATTTGATTAGATGTAATAATATGTTTTCTTCAATTTGCTGAGCTTTGACTGTAGAGAAGACGAAATACAAAGAAAATATTTATGAAACTAAGCGGCAGAGCTGCACTTCTGAGCAAGGCAAATTATTGAGCAGTAAGCACCGCATCACTAGGGTGATAAGGAATACTCAGCAAACATTGCAACTGGAGCTGTAATTTCCAAAGATTCCACAGTTGGACAAAAGGAGAAGGCTCCTGCATGACTCCCACAATAAGCAGAGACAAATGGTGCTGACAGGTGTTCATTGATCATTAGCACTGGCCAGTTGGGACATTTATTGGTGTCCAGAGCTTTCCATCGCTCACAACACGCTTCAGAAAAACCAGGTCCATCATTTTCAAGTTACAGAAAGAGTCTCTTAAAAGACATGCAGGACTTGATTAAAAACATTTATTTAAATACAGAAAACAATTCCTATAAAAGAGATTTTCAGGGTTCTGAACAGAGACTCACGCTCCCCCCAATATTTATGCATCCCTCATCCCTGTGCTGGCACGAGCACGTGAAGGGACTGTACGGTGACTCAACTGATCCAAGCTAAGTCAAACCCACATCAGTTCTGTGACTGAGTGTGTAGGAGGGGATGTCAGGAAAAGGGATGGAGAGGAGTCCCCGTGCTGATTTTAAGCACGTGTGAAGTGTGGCCTTGGAATTTGGGGCAAATCTTTGCTGGGGTACACACTAAGGTAAAATGAAGACAGAAACATAACTAAACAAACAAAGAAGTTTCCAGCACAGAGACAGATTTACTTATGAACACGCACGCTGTATCTTTATACTGTTTATAATATTTATTTGAGGATGAAGTAACACACGTAGGGAATTCCATCTTCCTCCTCCTTTGTTTTCAGTGTGAAAACAAAGATAAATTAATACAAAAAATAATGGTGTACTTACACATTGCGGCATGCAATAGGCTTGTAAAATCCAACTTCACGTCCAGTAAAGACTTTTTCCACACCAAGGTGATCTTTACAGGTAATATTTGGTGCTGGCAGACACTGAACTGAGGACAAAAAAAAATACTTGCAATTAAGCAGAAACTGACTGGATATTGTAGCATTTTCCTGACAACACATAAGCGAAATAAACAAGTGAAGTTACACTGTGCAACACTCTAGAGGCACAGCACAGTACACAGAGCCTCCTGCTCTGAGCAGGAGGCTGGACAACAGAACTGCCTGAGGTCTCTTTCAACCCAAACAGTTCCCTTATTCTAAGCAAAGGCTTAGCTCATAAAAGAACCAAAGTGGAAATCACAGCAGAAAACGACATCTACTAAAATTCTGTGATGTATTACCAGAGTATTAGTCACTCTCCACTGTTTTAGTGAGTTATTTTAAATGGGAGAATTCCAGTCCTTTACACGCTTCGTAGTAGCTTTCAGTACTTGTGAGACCTGTTGATTAGTTCTAACTGAACTGCTGGATGGGTTCAACATTTCTTTCCTGATTTTCCAGTAACACCCAGAAGAAAGATGAGGATTTGGATTTATTTTTTAATATCTATCCATATTGCATAGGACCATCCCAAAAATTAAGTTAAAGATTAAGTTCAGATGGTCAGTATCTGTAACAGGGAAAAAAAAAAGCTGTGTCTGGACTTAATTGCCATGAAGTCGTACATGGATGTTACTGATCAATGTGCCTCATCTAACAGGGCTACAGAAAGCAACATTCTTTCTTTTACAAAATTTAAGCAAAGAAAGCACGGCTTTCTATTTAGAAGAAGCCACAGCAGTTAAAATATTGACACAGGGAAGGATGCTGTTTTCTTGTCAAACACATGCCAGTATGGCTCCAAACCTGCTACTCCATGAGACTACTTGGATGCTTTGAATTAAACCCCTGCCTGTTTGGATGATGAAATCCAGAAAGATGTTTAGCGACTGTAGTGCTTCAAGCATGAGCTTTAAGACCAACTTTTTATTATTTAGATAATGCTGACGGAGGAAATGACTCAGATACTGTGAGGACCATCTAAAGTCTGCTGTATGTGTAAAAATTATATAGATATAGAAATGAACACATTAATAAATCCAGCAACCTCCCCCACTCTGAAGCAAACATATAGTGTATCGAATACAATCACGTGGTTAGACACAACTACCAATGTGAGTTGTGATCAAACTACAGGATATTCTTTGGCTCACTGACTGCCTGTTTATAATCAGGGACACAATGTCAAAGATGATGTAAAGGACTGAACAACTTCCAGGAGGATGTATTTTGGAAAGTACTTTCAGCCAGTCTCTGAAAAGTACTTGGAAAACCTCCACTATCCCTAAGCATCCCAATAAAGAAAATTATTTAGTGTTTATACACAGTAAAATCTGAAAGATAACAAGCATGCACATGCATTTTAAACATCAGTGTACATAAAGCAAATTAGCTAACAAAGAGACCATTTACTTCAATGCCTGCAAACACCAGAAAAGCTAAACATGTGTAATAAACCAAGCGACCAATTTAACTGCGTTTCTGTCGTCCTCCAAAGAAAATCTGAATTTAACGTCAAAATAAGCATAACTGCTTTCAAAAGAGACCCTCATGGCACCAAAAACTCTTGATGACGGAAGGCACCATCCTTCCTTAAAAGAATTATACAGATTTTGAAGGTTTTGAGGTTGCTCTGCCATATGTCAGTTCTTCTAAGTATATGCAAAACTGAGTAGGACAGGAATGGTTTGCTCTAATCACAGTAGAGAAGGACAGGGCCTAGAAGATATGACATACTTTGAAGAGGCTTACCAGAAACCTCACTTAAAAACGTACCAACGAGAGACAACGTATTTATTCATTTTCAGTGAAGCATCCCATGTACACAAATGTTCCAGGCTTTCACACTAATGACATTACTAATCCCATGTTTTAAAAGCTCATCTAGCAGATACATAAATGCATGAATTAAATGCTTCCTTGGAAAATGTAATTACTGTCAATATATGTTAGAAATTGGAAATCCTTACCATATGCCGTGTGATTTGTACAATTCATTGGTTCTTGTGTGCTATTGTCTATTTTAGGCTCATCACACATATATGTTCAGGTAATTGAGGAAAACATTTCTCATATCAAACACTACAACAGGTTTAACATTAATTTATTCCACCCTCTTTAACCTCTGAGGATTAAAGATGTACCTTGATGTCAGTTTTCCTCCCTCCCCATCCCCCAAAATAGGAACAGCACATTACCATACAGCAAATCTGCTAATCCAATTTAATACATCAATATATTGCATAAGCTCCACGCTTAATTAGTGCTGCAGTCAGCACTACCTAAGGGAACTACAATATTTATCAGTCACAGTCTCTGTATTTGAAGGCGACAAGGTAGAAAACCCCAGCCTATGCTTCCTTCCTTATTTTGATAGCGGAGTACCTTTAAACCGAGGCATTTGGTTGAGAAGATTAAAGCTACAATAACAAATTTCAAAGAACACCTAAAAACGAACATCGGAAACGCCGGGAATTTGGACTAAAGAAAACGTGAGCAGGAACAAATTTTCAGAGGGCTGAACTCCCACGGCCAATAAGGCAGGAGGTGAAATTAACTTTTTTTTTCCAAGCTACCCCCAAACAAACCCGTGCCACCACAAACACACACCCCCTCCCTCCCGCCCCTTCCACCCGAGGGTGTCCCTGCCACCACCGCTGCCCCCCGGTGCCTCACAGCCGCCGGCCCCATCCCCTCAGCCCCCGACCCCCGTCCCCCCCGCCGCGGCCGCGCTCAGGATATTGCCCCAGCCGCAGCTCGTCGCACTTGGGCGGCGGCTCCGAGCTCGCCGCTGCCCTCACGGCTGCGAACCAGAGGAGGAAGAGGAGAAAAGGGAGGAGGAAGGGGAACGGGGCATCGGCCGCCCCTCGCCACCTCAGCACCGTCCCCGCCGCTCCCGCCGGCCGCCGCCCCGGCCGGGCGGCCATCTTGGGAGCCGCGGCCGCCGTCAGTGACGCCGCGGGGGGGGAGGAGGAGGAGAAGGAGGAGGAGGAGCGGCCCCACCGCCCTGCCTCCGGGGGAGCCGGCTGCGCGGGCGGCCCTCTGGGTGCCGCTTTTATTTATTTATTTGTCTATTTTTGGCTCTTTCAGGGGTTGGCCTCGGTAAATATGGCTCCTGAGGCGGCTCGGGGAGGCGGTGAGGGCACAGCGTGCCCTTACCCAAGATGGCGCCCGTGCAGCCCCGCCGGGCTCTGTACCCTGGACAAAGATGGCCGCCCGAGGGACGGCGCCCCTCTGCCCTTACCCAAGATGTCGGCCCCGCCTCAGCGGGGCGGCGCGGGGCGATGGGGGGCGGTGAAGGGGCTGTGAGGGGACCTGGGGCTGCTCTCGGGGGGCGTCCTCCTCTACAGGAACCGACTGGAAGCGGCTGGTGAGGGCTGGGTGAGAGCGGCGTGGGCAGGCAGCTGAGGGACAAGTACGGGGCCGAAGGGCGATCACCGGCGTGAGGGCCGGGCATGGCAGGCCTAACCTCCCGCCTGGTGCCCGTGGGCACTGTCCTGGCACTGCTCTGGGAGCTGTGGGCGCCTTCGAGAGAGTTTCAGAGAAAATTCCTCAGATCTGAGGTAAAGTGGGTGGCCTGTACCTGCCCGGCTGTGCCAGGCCCGGCTAGGAGAGCCCTCGAGCCGTCTTGTGTTTTCATGTAAAATTGTGATTGTATACTGTTAAAGTACCTTCTCTTGCTTCGTTTTTGTTTTTCTCTACTTTTTTTTTTTTTTTTTTTTTTTTAATGTGTGCTAAATACCCGCAGAAGATGAGCTTTATCTTCATCACTATTTGCTCCTCGTAAGGTATTTTGTGGTGATAACCAACCTTTGTTTGTTTCTCACTTTTTTTAAAGTTATTCCATATTTTTCTAGTGCTTGTTTCTGAAAGCATCAGTTTTCAGCTGTGAGCTGCTGGGGATCACGGACTGTTTGAGATGAAGAGACCGTTCAGTGGTGAACGTACTTGGGAAAGGCAGCACTACTGTCAGAAGTTTCCATCCACTCTAGAAGCATTTCCTGAAAAACAAATGGGGACCTAGAAGCTTTAAAAGCTTGGAAACAACTCCCAGGTGGTATTTAAGAGAATGTCATTAACCAGCCCTTCTTAAAGTCTTCTGGTTTCACCAGTGACTGTTTTTGTGGATGAATGGTGACTTAGGGATGAGTCTGTCAGTACCAATGAAAGGTCTGTTATTGCCCCAGGTGCCCAGAGAATCAGTAAAAATGTTGATTTAAAATATATGGATGTCTGACAAAGATCTCAGCAATATTTCACATTACTGGCTGTCTTAACGGCTTTTGGGAGATTTGTGTAAACTAAATTGGCAGTCTCGAATTCAGCAGATAAAGTATGCAAATGAAAATTGACATTCCTTTCAGCAATTGGAAAAGAAAGGCCAGGGACAGAGTGCACTCTGTAATGAACCCAGCCCTCCGAGATCGAGACTGAGGTGCACTGATGAGAAAAGTGCTTAGCTCTTTTGTCTACATTGTATCTCTTGGATGGATAAATACCCCACTTGCTGTTCATCACTGTCAAAAACATTGTCACTTCTCGCAAGCACTACATTAATTAAAACTGAGAGTTAGGACTGGGAAGTTAGGCATTTGGAATCTTTTTTTTTAGGATGAAGTGATATGTCCTTAGTGTGTTATATGTTTTAGTGCAACTGCTATTGTTTTGTTTGTTTGTTTTTAAGGACTTTAGGAAGAAGGGAAGTTGTTTCCTAGTTAGGAGGTGGAAATTCATTTCTGTACCTTTTGTAGTGCCTATCCTATGCAACCAGCAGGGTTGCATGAGATTTGTTCCACATGAGCTACTGGAACTGGGTAGCAAAATAAAAAATATTTTTTGGAGGAGGCTCACTTGATATTTTTGGTGTTTATATGTGTGTATATAAAACATAAATATTACATAAAATAGCTGAAAACTTAACATACACTAGTCAAAGGTGGAGAGCAGCCACAGTCCGCTTTAACTTCAATGAGTGGTGCACGTTCAGGATTTTGAGGCCGGCGGTGCAAAAACCTCATTTGCTTTTATCGCCTTCCATCTCACTGCCTCTGCAGGGACTCAAGCCGCTGCTGCCACACACAAAGCCATCGCCACCACCCCTCCGTAGCCACAGGTAGCGCGGTGTGGCTCGGAGCGCTGTTGGCGCAGTGCTGGTTGTGGCGAATGTGGTGATAGGCGGGTGAGTTTCGCTGCTTTGGGGCTCCCCAGGGGAAGTGTCACAACTGCTAAACCCCATCCAGGTCCCAGTGCTCCCGAGGCTTTCGCCAGCTCCCTCAGTGGAAGCGGCAGTGCCCGTCCTGCTGAGGCCGAGCAGAACTTGCTTCGTCTGCAGGAGATAAGGGCTGAGAACAACTCTGGTGCGCAGCAGGCTGCCTGGATTCACGGCTGGGTGCTGACTTGCTGCAAATAAGTACAAATAAAGTGTTTTATACAACTTTTCCGCCTCCATTTTACTCTCGCTGGGGATTTTGGTGGCTGTGCTGACAGCCGTGCCACGCAGGCTGTGCCACCACCGGGGGCCTTTCCCCTCACTGCGCTCCGTGTCCCCGCTCCCAGCCTGCGAAATCAGCCCCTCAGCACCACGTCCCCAGGCTGGGAGCAGACCCCAAGCTTCACCCCAAAGAGCTGAGGGGACGACAACGAAGCTTCCCCCCCCCTCATCCACCCTCTCCTCCCTCCTCCGGCCGCCGGCTCCGGGCCGCCCCCGGCGCGTCCCGTCCGTCCCCCGGGAGGCCGGCTCTCCCTCCGCGCCGCCCCGGCTTCCTTCGCCGCAGGTGAGCCGCCTTCGTGTCCCCCCCCCCCCTTTCGCTTCCCTTTTCCGCCCAGGTGAGAGCCGGCGGCAGCCATCATCGCTCCGGCCTCTCAGGTACCGGCGCCGAGCGGCTGCGGGGGGCTGAGGGGAGGCCCCGAGGGTTGGGAGGGGAAAAGGGGGGAGCCCCCCTGTGGGCAGCCGGTTTGGGGGGGCCCCCAGCCGCCCTGTGAGGGTGTGGAGCTCAAAGGGGAGCGCCTGGAGCCCCCTCTGGGTGCTGGTCCTTAGGGGCTGCTCCATGGGAGAGCGGCTTTTTGGTGTTCCTGCGGGTGTGGAAGCTCAAAAATGAGGTTGCTGCCAGGGTTAGGGGCGACAAAACGAGCCCCCACCGTGAAGGGGGCGCGCTGTTTCAGCAGAACTTGAGGACTTGGTGGCTAATGTAAGCAGGGCAGGACGCCCTGTGTGTATTTGGGAAACAAGTCACCCCCAGGCTTCCTCCTCCTCCTCCTCCTCTGAGAAGAGGTTTCCAAGTGCAGACCACCTCCTGCTCCTCTGCCAGAGGCGTCGGGTGCGGGCTCAGCCTCCTATCAGCCATCAGAGAGCCCACAGCGCTCCCCTCCAGCCTCCAGCCCGCAGGAATTCAGGTTCTGCTTGTTGGAAGTTGGCGTGCCTTCGGCGTGAGTAAGGCTGCTCCCGATCAGTGCGGAGGCCGGTCATCACAGGTACAGGGGGTTCTTCTGCTTCCCTCATCTCGCAGACACTAATGGTATGCTGCAGCACGCTCAGCTGGTCCCCGGAGTGGTTTTTTGGATGGTTAACAATGTTTAGCTGTGACCTGCTTTTCCCTGGAGGTGGATGGTGCGTTTTTATTTAGGTACTCACAGCGCTGTGCAATTGTTTCCTCCTTACAAGTGCCTGGAGCAGTCAGCACGCGCGCTGTAGCACTTTTATAAAAACTGTAACACGACACAGAACAGCAGGTTTTGGCCTTCTGAAAGGCGTGTACACGCTAGGCTTGGTTGGACTGAATTTTTCTCTGCGTTACTAAGGTGGAAAACCAAGTAGAACAGCAAAGTACGTGCGAAATAGTGTTGTTTTTAACAGTACGTAGCTGCTCCGTGGCTTGCAAAACGTATTATTTTTAATACCACAAGTTAGATGTGATGCTGCTTTAGGACCGTTTTAGGATTAAGATCACACTACCAAATGCTGTTTTCTCTTGCCTTTGCCTTTTAATAAATTTTAAGCGGTTTGGACTGAAGTTTTCCAAGTCAGAGATCTCTCCTGGAGCAATGACGTAAAGGAAAGACATGCGCTGTGTCAGTCACTCCTGATAACAGGGCTGGGGGAAATTACAACAGCAGTAGTGCAGAAAGGTGACTTTGGACGGGGAAGTACCCTTGGCTGTTCCCACGGCAGCCTGCTCGGCTGGCCCTGTTAGCAGCCTTTGGAAAACAGCAGCAGGTAGCAGCTGCACATTGAGGACTTGCAGCATTTAACGTCCCAAATGGCTGTACCAGTGCTGAGTCGGGAGAGCCACAGTCGAGGCAGGGCTTTCCCTACAAACGTGGCTCTCGAAGGGTTCAGGTTTTTGGAGGCCGAGCTGAAGGACACAGGGCAGAAGCAGTTGTAGTTAGGGCAAGGAGGTGAATGTGCAGAAGAAACTGCTGGCGAAACCATGCCCTCCTTCCGCTCCCAGCAGAAACCCCCTGATTTTTGTCTTTCAGCAGCTCTTCGCAGAGGGCGAGTGCTTGTCAAGGCTGCTGCCAGAGGTGTCGTGTTCCTCCCTGGGTCTGGGACGTGCTGGGGATGAGCACCCCGCGTCTCGTGCAAGTGGCAGGCGGCTGGGGGGCCGTGGCAATAGAAGACTTAAACCTTTCAGCTCTTCTGATGACCTCTGCTGGCATCAGCATGGGGGAATTCCTGTTTTCTTAGTCTGCTTTTGAAGAAGATCCAAGTCTTAGGATCTCATACAAAACCTTATGAAACTTTCCCGCTCCCTACGATGCGTTGAGTCCAGCTCTTCAAAAGTGAAGACAGTAAAAACCCAGATGCATGCTGTGCTGAAGTGTTGTGTTTGTTTTGTTGTTTTTTTTTCCTGGTATTGGAAAATACTGAGCTTCCTGAAATCCACGATTTTCACAATGATTTTACGATTACATTGAGAGTTGGGACATGAATTTTGAACTTTGAGGTTTGCAGTTTTGTCTACCAATAGGATAATTAAGTGGCTGGAGAAATCGGAGAATGGAGCTAAGGAATTTGAGTGCAGAGTGGGGGAACTGCTTCTAACGAGACAAACCATAGTGTTTTGGGATCATCCTTCAAAATTATCGTCTAAGAACGGACCTCCTAATTTAGCAACACTCTGCTGACACCCGGCTCAGACTCGAGCATCAGTGTTTGGAGATGGATTAGGGATGACCTATTTGGGTCCCCAAACATCAACAGATTGCTAATATAGGGAGTTGTGTGTTTCCCTGGAGCCCAAAAGCTAGTCGTAGGGACTTGTCCTCAATTATATGGTACTCGAAAACTTGAAGTTAGTTTATATTCGCAGAGATGCCCTCACACCAGAAGGAGCTGTCTACTTTAAAATAAAACACTTTTTTTTTCCCCTACTCTTTTTGCGAAAGATCAGAGAACAAAGAAACACCGGGGGTGGTTTTAACGTACTGCACAAAAATTAAATCATTAAAACCATTGCAAGCTGGCTGGAAGCCAGGTGTGATCACGAGGAATCCCGAAGTGCTGTGTAAACTTTCATTTTTATACCGACTGTACTCGAGATCCACTTCAGCATCTGCTGGGGCAGAAAGGTGGGCAGTGGCTCTTGGCAGTGCATGGGAACAGCTCAAGCAGGAAGCTGAGGCTTTCTTTAATTTATTTATTTTTTCTTCACCTCCTTCTCCAGGGGACTTCTGCGTGTTAGATGGAGCCTCGATGTCCTACCTACATTTTTCTGCTCTTAATTTTTCTTTCCTGGATCTGTACCCGTTGCCATAATTGCTATTGTTACAGCCGCCGTAATGGAAAAAAGATTCATCTTGGAGACTGTCAGCGCGGCTCTTTGAGGCTGCCTTTGAGTGGCGCAGGCTATTGCTCGCCGTGTGGTTTGCCAGGGCAGCTGAGCTGCTGCAACCGCTAGCCGCTGCTGCAAGGTGCGGGCCCGGCCCCATCCCATGTGCTGCTGCTGGCACTGGAGCCCAAACTGGGCATAAAGCTCCCCCCACCAAAACATGAAGGGGTTTTTGTGTGCTCAGCTCCCCGTTCCAGTTCGCTGTGGGATCAGATGAATGAGTGAGCGCGAGCCCAGATGGAAAGGAAGAGGAACAAAACGCGTGAAAGGTGGCTGGAGAGCTGGACCAGCCCCTTGGCTCCAGCTCTTAGACGTGCAGAGCGCTGTCAGGTTGTCATTATTTCCTGCCATGCTGCATTTCTTTTCTGGGTTTAATCTTTCCTTCGCCCTACTGCTGGTTTTAAGGTGTTTCAAGTCACTTTTCCTCGTAGGAGTGGATTTGCATCTCGTTCTTTCGAGGGTTTGCTTTGTTGTAACTGCTGATGTGAAGTGGGAAAACAGGGAAGTTAAATTGGGAAGAAAGAAAACATTTCCATATTCCTGTTTTGTTAAGGCTCCTGCCGTATTTTTAGTCAAGGAGGTGAAGTTTTGTCTCTTCGGTTTAGATGAAGACTCAGGAATGTGCAAGGAAATGGTATTTTCGTCTGTTCTTCGGAATCAGATCTCAGCCCAGAATCAAAGGCTGCCGTGCTCTTAGAAGTGTTTTATTTCAAATGGAAAAGAAAACAAAGTCGCAGCCCTTACACGAGTTCAGATGCATTCCTGAAAATCTTTCAGGGGTCGGACGCTGCCTCAACCCTTGCTCTGGGTTTGATTTTGCAATGACCTCCTAAATGTGTTAATAGTCTTGCAGAGCTGCTCATTTTGCTTGGCCCTGGGTGGAAACCATGCTAACCCACCAGGTTCTGCAGGAATTCCTACAGGAGCCAAAGCTGTTTAGATACAGAGGAGTGTGCATAAATCAGGCATTGTGGTTTCTGACATACTTCCTCTTTTTTTTTTTTTTTTTCATTAGGTAAATTGGTTTAACCTGACTCTTCAGGAGAAGAGAAGCTATAATCCTGCTGCCTTTTCACCCGCTTAATTAATATTCTCTTAAACATTGCAGTGTCCTCCCAGAACTCAAGACATTTTCAACTGGAGCGCAGACGGTGTCGGAGGCAGAGCTGAAAGGAGCAGAGGTTCTGCTGGGAGGGGACCCCGGGATGTGCTTACCCTGGGGCTGCATTCAGGAGCATACGACCATTCCTGCCCTTGCATTACAAGATTAATAAAGTAAATTGACCTTATTTTTTTTTACATATGGCTATTTTTGTTCCAAAGTACTTCCAAAGTTATATTATTCCGAAGCTACCCAGTTATATACAGGGCAGAGCTGAAATTATGTAAATTGAGCTTTTAAATGGCTGATTTCTTTCAGAGGAGCTTGTACGAAGCGAAGAAACCTTGTTTCTCGTGTATGTTTTGGTATAACTGCCTTGGTAGATTTCAGAATGACAAGTTCCACATCAATGTAATAACACACAAGTGACAGCATGAATTTATCATTGCTGCTAATTGCAAGTCTGTTGTTTTTATACTGCCATCTAGGCCTCAGCCTCAGTTGGAGACCTGTTCTCTTTGGCACTGCAGTGAGGGTGATAAAGGATATTGTGTTCCTTCAAAGCCTGGCTTGTACGTAGGAAAGAGAAAGGCAAGCACGTGTAGGAGAAGGGAGCAGGTTTCTTTCACCTGTTTGGCACCAGAGCTGTGACTACGCTGTTGGACTAGGCATTGATTTGGCCAGTTTGGGGCCTTAATGCTGTGCTCTCCTGTGCGTGGGAGGAACCTCATCACTGTTTTATAGGAAGATGCGAGGTTTCACCTATATTGCCATATGGCAGGGCTGAGCTCTTGTGATAAGAACACTGTCTACAAATAATTAAAATAATTGGGGGGAAAGTACGTATTAAATAACAGGAAGATTTTAAGTATATGTGTGTTTGAAAAGATCACAACTACCACAACTTCAATGTCCACATTCACAGTAATTTGATTGAACGCAGCTCCCTCTCAGTTTCCTTAGCCAATATTTTTTATAACCTGCATTGTTCCTTGTATTTGGAGGAGTTGTTCCTCTTGTGTGTGAAAGAAAAAACACACGGAACAAGGATCATTTTTTGGATGTGCTGGGGCTGCTGTGCAACAGGCTATATTGAGAAGGGAGTAGTAGCGGGTTTTAATCAATTTAGTTATAGTTAACTTAGTGTCTTATTAGTGCATTTATTGATGATGTACGTTTTAGCAATCTGCTCAAAGATATAATTTATTCCTTTCTTCTTTTTTAAACCTCATCTAGGTCTTTCTGAGTAATTCCAAAAATACTATCCAACATGCCTGAGAATCCGGCTGCAGGTATGTAGTCTGCAAGTGATTACTTCTGTTAAGCAGTGAGAATCAAAGCTCCATTCCTGACTTGTACTACTTTGTGGTGCAGATAAACAGCAGGTGCTGCAGATCCTCGATCGTCTGCAAGCAAAATTGCGTGAGAAACGAGATGCCCAGCATAATGAAAACCTGACTGTTTTGCGTAACACGCTCAGGAGCCCTTTGTTTAACCAGATACTGACCCTCCAGCAATCCATCAAGCAACTGAAGGAGCAAGTGAGTGTAAAATTACAATTGTTGATGTGATGATAACAATGCTGTGCTTGGAACTTAAAACAGGGTATGTAGGCATGTGTTAATGAGGACGCTCATTAATAAGCTGTAACTTAGTATGAGTGAATGTTGGCCTTTTTCTTTTCTTGTCAAGCTGGTATCTGTGCAGTCACTGCTGAAATGATGAGGGGTCTTGCAACAAACCAGTCACAGGGCAGAAAGCTTTGAAAGGGATGCAGAAGAGTCAGGCACTGAGAACAACATCAGTCTGAGAAAAGCATCTGCAAAAGACATCAGCTGTAGTACTTTGATACCTGAACACAGTTGGAACGAGGACTCTGTTTTTCCCAGAAGCTAAATGCTGTTTATGAGCTGACTGGCAGCATCTTGTCTCTCTAAAACACACCGTCACTTAGCCCCTGCTGACTTCCACGAGAATGGTTAACCTACAGTGGGAAATAAAATCTAGAAAATCACCCTGAAGATTTGCCAAGCTCTGATTCAGACAAACCCAAGCTAGATTTGAAGTGTGTTAGCTCTGGCAGTGGAATGGACTTGTGTGGATTGGTTTATAATGCCAGTTGACACTTAGACCTTGGATGTGGGTGTTGATGACACCTGTACACGAAGAGTTTTCATCACACAGTTTGCTAAGTCATTATCTGTCAAGACCAGAAATTGACCTGCAGGTTCTAGCAATGGTAGCGTGTTAAATTGTAGGTAGCTTGTGCCCTAGGACAACATGGCATAGACTAGACATTTGGCTCCTGTGTGGCTAAGTGACTCTTAAGATTTTGGATACTTGTGCAAAAATCATCCAGGTTTGCCTGACAGTTGCACCAGTGTTTGAGTGCCTCTTTAATATTTGGTGCTTTTGTGTGTCTTGTTTCTGGAACGTCATGGTGAAGAGAGAAACTTGATATGGTAGCTTGCTTCTTTGGCAGTCTTTATGCAGATCATATATGTAGAAATCTGTGTTTATGTTTTTAGGAGTTTTACTACATCTTTTTTCATTTTCAACAGCTCAATTATATGCCTCCTGACTGGTCAGGAGATTTTGATTTTACCAAAAGAGGGCTACTAGTGTTTGCTGACAAATCAGTTGCTGCTGGAAGCGTGTGTATACCTCGCAGTTCACCTGAACCCAGAGCATCTACCTTCAATCCCAACCTGGGAGTTAATGAATTCAATGCAATCATCCAAAAGATGGCAAAGGTAAGGCTCTCAGGTTGAGTGAACCAAACTCAAATGTCAAACCTTTTCTTGCATGCTTTTTTTAAAAAAAAAAAACTTTTTCAAACAAACACATTTGTTATGTATCTTGGAGTATGATGCTATCTAAGCCACTAAGAGAGCAGAGTTACTGAGGATCGGTTTTCCCTGTGAAAGATAAGTAATATGGAAAGTATTTTCTTTGCCCTTTTTTTTGTTGTATTTTCTACCAAGCACGCTGATGTAGAAATGAGATGTCAGTTGCCAGAAAACTTTTTTTTTTTTTTTGGTATTTGTTGACACTTAATTGAAAATGGATGTTTTCTGCAGAAACTTGTTTTGATGGAAAGACACTTTTATCAAGTACATTTTGAATTGGAAATGTACCAGCTTTGTTGATATATGAACAGTGCAAATGATTAAAAGAGTTGGCATGTAATATTTTATTTAACTCTTCTTTTAATATGTTTTAACTTTGCCAGACAGATGCTGATTTCATTAACGTGACATAGCATGTACCAGATGCTTATGGAAGTTGTACAGGTGCAGACATCCACCCATGTGCAATTGGCATTTATACCATGAATGCATTGTTCTGTATTACTTTGAACCATTAATTTAATTGGTTGGTTGTGCCTTTCTATATTAAGTAACTGTTGCTAATTGACTACCTTAATGTAGCTGTAATATTTTGAGCATAACTCTTCTCGTTAGTGTGTCATTAACTCATCTGATAAAAGATTTAACAGTAAAGGCTGCACATTATTTGGGATAAAACAGCTGTGATAGAAGCGCTTTCTCTAAGTAATACTTCCCAGTAAACAACCCCAGAAATTCAGTATTAGAGCTGAGAAGCAGGCAGTTGCAAAAGCAAACTTTCTGGCATTCAGTGTGAGGTTGCAGGAACGGGAAGGAAATTAATTTCTTTATTTAAAAGCTGCAGTCTTTTGAACATGCACCTAAAATCAGCATTAAAAGCAAAAGGAGCCAAAAGACAAGTAATTTAGTTTAGCTATGCAGCATTTCCAGAAACCCCAAATATATTGCTCTAGACAGCACTTCGTTCATAGTTTTCATCCAGTTTGGAATTCATCTCATAATGTGAATGAAGTGTGAAAGCAGCTCTTAAATTCCCTGAGGTTTCAGAACCTCAGAGTGCTTGCATATCCAATACTCTGTTATATTAAAAATAATAAATGGAGGAGCTTTTATAGAAATAACATATTCAGTATTTTGCCTTTGTTTAGTCTTAGGAGGAGAACAATTCTCCTGGTGTTCATAAATTTTGAAGTAGCTCATTCTATTGCATTAAAAATTAGTAAATCAATGTTTTCTATTTTACTAGGGGAGACAAATAGAATCGATAAAGATTGAAAAGCCTTCTGTTGGAGGTCTTGGATTTAGTGTGGTTGCCCTTAAAAATCACAGCTTGGGAGAAGTTGGTATCTTTGTCAAGGAAGTCCAGCCAGGAAGCATAGCTGACAGGTGAGATCTTTATAATTGTGTCGGAAAATTGCAGCAATTCCGTGATGGGAAAAGTCATGATTTTTGCACTGAAAACTCTGTCAGGCTAACACGTTTGCCTAGGTTTTCTGATGGGATGTTTTGGTGGTGGTGGTATCTTGAGTTCTGGCTTTTCAACTAAGTGGACTCATCCTGAGGATCAGGTTTTCGGATGAGTTTCAGATATCCAAGCTGTTCACAAATGGAATTTCCAGAAATCATGACTCACTTAAGAGAATCTTGAGTACTGATTGAAAAACAAAGACAACTCGGAACAGAATACAAAGAAAATAAAAATTAGCCTCTGTTTGAATATTTATCCATTGTGTCCCTGGAAGATTTTTTCCCCTTGTTTCTTTATTTATGTGCCTATGACAATGCTCTATTTATAGTTGGGTTTACTGTTTGTTTCCTGTGTAAATTTAGATCCAGTCCTCCCAACAGATCCCTGCACAGATGTCATCATTGAATCAAGGCTTCAGGCAGTTTTTTCCCCGTATTGTCTGTGGGTTTTCACCCAACAACAAAAGACAGAGCAATCATTTAAAAATAAAATGTGATTGTAAAACCACAAGAGTTGGCATGAGACAAATGCAGTGCTTGGAATTATGTTTAAAGAAAATGTGTCTAGATTTCAAGTCACTGGTGTCACTTTTTAAATAACACATGTCAGGAAGTGCCAACGCAGGATGACAAAAAGAGTGGGGAGAGGTTGGAATGATAATGGCTATGGGCCCACAGAGAACACACCAGAGAACACTTAAAGAGAAGCATATTAGGCTCTTTCAAAGTGGAGACAGATGGACTGATCCGGATGTCAAAGGAGGGTGAATATCTCACTTTAGGATTTGATGACCTGCTGCTCACTTTCTTTGATGAGAGAATCTAAAATATGGCTAATGCCTGAAGAAAGAGATTTCAGGAAAGCATCTTAAATATCGCATGATAAAAATGAAATGTAGAATGCATTAGTGGAGATGTACAGCTATATTGTTTTGGACTTTTTATAAATTTCCTCAGCATGCTTCGCATTTTGCTTCTGAGACAGGATCTCCTGGAGACTTTTTTGGATTCCTACAGAGCTTTGAAGGCAGTGTCTGGCTATGTAACAGTTTGGTCTCGTGCTCAGAATGAATATTGAACAAAGCAGATGAGTGATAGTTTCTCCCTTGTCACAAATCTAAATTAATCACTAGGATGAATTAACTATGAGATTTGTTATCTTAAGGTATAATATAAATTGAACTGTGTATTGCATGAAGAAGGTTTGATGACTGAGGTTTGATAACATAAATTTTGAGAGAAGTGTTAGAATGCAGCTTGACCACCTTTAGATCAGATGATACAAAAGAATATTGTAGCCTGGGTTGTGGGTACTTGGAGATAATGTCACGTACTTCTAAAAGTAATGAATACTAGTTCCTAGTTCATTGTATAACTACAAAAATGTTTTTTCTTGTCCTATAATTCAATATAATCAAAAACGAATGAGGGAATTTTATGGAATTTTGAATAGTCGAAGGAAGAAATTGAGTAAACACAAACTGTGATAAAGTTGGAACAAAACTTGGTTGGGCAGTTCAGTACAATGTGCACTGCATGTAATTTGTAAGGTGGTGAAGACAGTCTAATGAGCAGATTTCTTTTGTATAAATCATTTAACCTTGCGTAACTATTTTGCATGCTCGTGTTTAAATTACCCAAGCCTGTTATGAAGTCACTATGCTGCATTTTAAAAATTTCTTTTAATGTTTTGTTAAGGGATCAAAGACTAAAGGAAAATGACCACATACTGGCCATTAATTGCACCCCATTGGATCAGAACATTTCCCATCAGCACGCTATTGCACTCCTCCAGCAAGCCACAGGATCTTTACATCTGGTTGTTGCTAGGGAGCCAGTTCAAGGAAACAGCAGAACTTCGTCTGTCTTATTAAGTGATATAAATCCACCTGAGACCGTGAGTGTTGTAATGCTGTCAAAATCAGATTTTGAACTATGCTGGATACTTTTTTGTACTTGTAAGTGTTTGTATTAGCTAGCTCTGTGTATACGGATTTTTTTAATCAGGTTTTATCTGCAGTGACATTTGATTTAGACTGATCACGCAGTAAGTATAATGCTTCCATTGCAAAGCTGCATGAAGTTGTTATAAAATAGATCCTGGGTTTTTATGGGCTAGCAGAAGCTTTAGTAAATCAACATATTCCTAGCAGCAGGGTCTGTTCAGGGTAGGCTGGGTAAAGTGTTTTATGAGTATACCCAGCTGAAAACTACTTGTGCTCAGCAATTAAAGATGCTCTGATTACATCTTAAATGACTGTAAACATAACCTATCACGAGCTCTGTTTGAAATATCCCAAGCAATTTAAACTTAAGCTACTCAAAACATAAAGTCTTGCTTTCAAAAGCAAGTTTTCAAAAAAATAAGTAGGAAAAAAATCTGTTAACCACTCAATCCATATTTATCAGTTGTTGTTTTTTAAACTGCAGGTTTCATTCATTGTGAACCCTTTTGTTTTCTTTAACAAGGAGGGATTGTCACTCAGAGATGTAATAAGCTAGGGCTGAACTCGCATCTGTGTTCAAACCATGTGGTCCAGGTGGCTTCGCTGAATTTGGTTGAACTGCACACCTAAAGTCAGGGTTTGCAATATTGGAATCTTAATTTATTATGCGAGTAGGTTTTGATGAAAATCTGGTTAAGAGCAGTGCTTTTCCTTATACTCAGTAATTATTTCCCTTATGATTATTACAGAGCTAGTGAAATCTGAAGGTTTTAGTGGATAATCAATATTGTTTATTGCACTGAAAATTTTAAAGAATTAAACTTTAACTGCTTTTTCATTGAAAGATCTGCACTGAACAGACTAACAAAATAAAATACAAATATATATCTCTACAGGGGGTCTTTAAACTTCTTTTATGATATTTAACTGGCTTTGGCAAAGACTTTCAGTATGCTAATAAATCCTTTATTCACAGAAGACTTAAATCTGCCTACTTTGCTCCATTTTGGTTTCTATGAGATATTAATCTGACAGAAACATTGGCTGGGTTTGGGTTACTTAACAGCTTTGTTATTTTCAGATTGTCTTGTAGAACATAAGGTCATAGTACAGTGTAGCTTAGAAACATGCTTCCAATTCAGTATGGCAAAATTTTATACTGCGCTATTAATTCAGCACGTACTGGTGGTGTTTAGAGTGTGTAAGTGACATAACAGATATAAGAATTTGGGCAATGCTGAGTGAAAACTAGGCCAGTGCAAGCTTCCTGACTGTTTTTCTCTGTTGTTTGCCTTAGTCTTGATTTCTGAAAAACTAGAAGGATAGTTTTCATTTTGGCAAGAAAATCTTGAAATCTCTTTTTCTTAGTCAAGCTTTTTCCTAGTATCCTGTTATGAAAATAAAAGACAAAATGTATGTTTGAAAACAGATGAGAAATCCCACAGAGTATTTATACGGAAATGAAGCTGATGGAACAAAATCCAACAGATCTCTAATATGTGGCAGAGAGAGAAAAAAACCTGCATTGATTAATTCTTGTCATTCCTGGTACAGGTGAAAGTGAGAAACATTAAAGATGGACTGAAATTAAAACCTCCTGTTTTTATTAATTGCAGATTCACTGGGGCCATGTTGAAGACGTTGAGCTGATTAACGATGGCTCGGGATTAGGCTTTGGAATTGTAGGAGGAAAGACGAGCGGTGTAGTTGTAAGAACGATTGTTCCTGGGGGATTAGCAGATCGGGTAATTTGTTATATTATGTCACTTCTTGTTTGATTGTAAAGTATAATTAACTGCTTTTGACAGTCTTAAAATAAACTAATACACTTAAACAAAAGGAAGCCGATAGCATCAAAGTCTGAATGCCAACGTATACTTTATAAATAAATATGTTGAAGGTACGATTGAGGAAAAAGTCAGCACCTGATATGAATTAAGTTGTTTCTCAGACATGCTTTGGCTCCTAGAACATTGTTGAATATGCAGAAATTTTGAAAAGTTGTAGAACTTAATATTCCCAGCCCTTCTGATATTTTCAGCAAGACTTCTTGAAGTTTGTGATATCCTTTAAAGTTGTGCATGTGTGGTTTGCAACTTGCCTGCCGCTCTTTAAAGAATCATCACTACATTTCATCGCTGCTACATTTCAGGAGCAGAACACACGCAATTGCAAGCAGGGTTTGGATTTTTATTGCGAATTTGGTCATAACAAGTTACTGCATCTGAGGTCTGGAACCCATGCAGACAAGATCCAGTAACAAACAAAAGAGACAGGCTAAGGTACTTCCTCCAGTTACGGATGGAAACAAAAACTGGAGATTCAGAGAGCTTTAATGGAAAACATTGGCTCTTGCTTGACTGCCCCCCTCTGAACCTGTCATGTATAAATGAGTATTTTTTAATTATTGTGTAACACCTGTTTTGCTGTAAGGAATAAAGTGTCTTAGCTACAAATGAAGCATATAAGTTAAGAACTCACCACATCATTCTTAGCTGAATGAGACATCATTAAGAACATGTGAAATAATGAGCACATATATATATGTTAAAATGGATGAATTTGTAAATGAGTTTGAGTCAGTCCTGGGCATAATTCCACTGTGATTACTGTATAAATCAGTGCACCTAAGGTGGTAGGACTGTGCTGATCAATACCAGCTGAAGATTCGGTCCTATGAATGCTAGCTTATATTAGAAATGATGATGTAGACCATGAATTATAATTATCATGTTAAAAATGGTTTGTGTGTGTGGAGTCCTGTTACTTTCAGCGGAGTTTCTCGATGGAGTTGGAGCTAGGCATATAGGAAAGTAATTGCCAGGTTAATATAGCAGTATTCTGGGAAACTAAATAGTCCTAAATCCAAGTGCTGTGATTTTTATTCTAACCCCTATTCTATGTGGATTGTTCCATGAAAATTCAGTACATAACAGCCCATGAGATTCTAAAACAGCGTGCTTGCTTTATTTTCTCCTAAATGAGAGAAGTAGCCAGTTTCTTAGGAACAGTGCCTTCAGCCTGTGTATCTTAGTTTTGGAAAGGCTGATTTATCACTGTTTACTACTGTGGAAAAAAACAGTGATTAATTATGTGAACACTTATTTAATATGTTGTGGTAGTGGTCAATTTTACAGTGTCCTCCTGCACTGGCTGTCAGGAAAATACCAGCCTTTTCAGTTTGGTAATGGAAAAGATTTTATTTACAGCCTGGAAATTTTTTTTTTACAATGTTGTTTGTGTTTCAAGGATGGGAGGCTCCGAACAGGAGATCACATCTTACAGATTGGAGGGACCAACGTGCAGGGAATGACCAGCGAACAAGTTGCACAAGTGCTGAGGAACTGTGGGAATTCTGTTAGGATGATAGTTGCAAGAGACCCCAAGTGTGAAATTACTGACAGCCCGCCAGCTCCTGTGAGCTGGCCCGTTAGTAGGTTACCTCCCTTTCAGAATGGAAGCGTAAGTACCTGATGTTTACTTATGGTTTTTTAAGTATGTTTGTGGCTTGTGATTAGAAGGGAGGAGAAAAGAGCAAGCTTGGCACTTCTGGGTGTGAAGAACTCATGCTTCTCCTCTTTTGAGTTCCCAGATATCATGTGTGTATTTAAGTGATCGTTATTTTAGGCCTGCTTCCTCTAATTTTTCCCTTTTTCTTATATGCTGTTAATACCTATAATCTTGGGATCAGAATGACCAGCTTTATGGAATTTATTTCAAAGTGGCTGATTTAATTATGAAGACCATGACCATTATCGATAAATGGCGCTTCTAGTTCTCCTTCTTAGCTCATTACATTTTTGCTAATCAATCATTTGTAAGTGGATTTAAAACCTGAATATGAATTTCTGTAGTCTGAAATCCAGAGTGCCATGGCCAAACCAGAATTATTCAGCACTATCATCTTTTTATGAAACATAAGTGTAATGTTTTCATAGTCTACACTACTGTCTGTGATAGGAAATATATCTAAAAATTTTGAAACTTGTTTTAGCAAATCTTAACATGGTCATATCAAAGTCTCTTGTTTTTGAAGTCATTCTTTTCAGTTTTGAGTAATTAAAATCAACAAATGCTACACTAAGTGTACAGTAGGTCTTGAAACATAAACAAAGCTGTGCTTGTGCGCCATCTGCTACTACTGTGCTGCTTAGATTTAGGTGTAGAATCTGAGTAGCCTTTTCTCTCTTATCTAGTCTCTTGAATATGAGTGAAGAGAGCTTTTTTTTTTAAACACCATCTTTAAATGTCAGACTAGGAGTCATTATTGTTACAAATTCACCTTCGTGCTTACTGGGCAGTCACTGCAAAGGCAGCCATCAGCTTTGGGAAGCAGAGCACGTCTGGCATCTCTCTGATATGCTATTGTGGCTGAAGCTGTTGTGAAAATATTTGGGTCCTTCTCAAACTCTTCTCAGAAGTGTAGTAGGAAACTTGAGTGGCAGAGAAATGAAGGAGGGGTAATCTACATACTTTAAGGTCAGGGTCTTAGAAGTGGGCTTGTTTAATAATCTGAACATATTTATTAATTTACTGACGATTTTCTCGGTCTACCTTTCAGTTTCTGTTAATTCACAATAGAACTTCCTCCTATAATCTAATTTCTCTCGTTTCTGAGTACTTTCACTAGCCGTGAGCTTTGAAATAGAAAAGATTTTCCATTTCTGTTTTACAAACCAGCAGAAAGGCTTTTTTAATATGTGTTATCTTGTGCTTTTTTTTTTTCCCTAGCCCTGTATTAAAATTTGATTTCCTTTGAGTCTCCTGCAGGAGAGAGTAACTGAAACTACTAATGTCTGTGCATGGGTAGGAGAAAACTGTTATTATCTATGTTCTCAAAGATACTGAAGGCAATATTAGCAGCCTACCGGAGCTGATTGTGTTTACAACTCTGCACTTTGATTTTCCAGATTACACTTCGATGTTTTGCGTTCTGCCAGTAACATGAGTTAAGGGAAATTTCTGTAGCACCAGAGCAATGACCATGAAGGACTTGAGATTGCCAAAACAGCAGGACTCTCAAGACCGTAGTTCCATTTCAGATGTTGCTATAGGCTCATTCGCTGATTTGATTCCCTCTCCTAAAGATAAGGGACAGAGCACCAAAATTTATCTTCATCCCCATCAGTGTCTTATGGAGCAACAGAGTTGGAAAGCAGTTAATAAGTTGGCTAGTGAAGGTGGGTGTGATAAGAAAGGAGATAGCAGTTTATTAACTTCAGTGAAAGGTGAAATAGGTACAACTGTAACTTTGGCTTACTTCTTAACATAGGTCCTTCCAGAGCTGACGTCTGGCAAGTATTTGATTAAGTTTATTTTGTTCATTCTCTTAAATGGACCTGGAAACCAGAAACTGTTTCTTTTCCCTGTTAGCATTGATACTGTCCCTATTGACTTCATCACTTTCACAGACCTCACTATGATCACCTCCTTATTTTTGGTCCCATTGGGCTATACCTAGTCCTTGAAAACAAACAGTTTTATGTATTTTAATTTGTCACTTGCAGTTCCAGATCCATGCGCTTGATTATTTTTCTCTTTGGTATCACCAGTGTCTTTGGGGTGGCCTATTTGAATGCTGTCCTGCAGTTTTGATTTTTCACTTGTCAGTGAAGGGTAGGACTTAAGCCAGCTCTGGAGGGGGCTTTCTCCATACCCTTCTCTACTGTAAGACTGAGTCGCATTTTAATCATAGGTAGTGCCTCCTAGGGTATTTTGGTAGCTGCAGTAAGCAGAGTGTTCAGAGAACGGATCATGTTATGTGCTTCTCTCTTTAAGTATTGTTTGTTATGAGAAGTCTTCTCATCAGTTCAACAACAAAGCGTTTACAAATTAATATTCTCCTCAGTTAGGTCTTAAAACTAATTTTCAGTGAATGCAAATGAATAATTTGCTTTTCATTTCCTTCAGGTAGTTGGAGGCTTCTAGTGCTCTTTGCAGTTTGGTGGTGTTCAAATTGGAGTAAGATCAAATCAAACTTGTTAAACTGATGTGTGCAAGATTGACTTCTGGTATGGTTTTGTGGTTTAGGAAGTAGCATAAAAACCACGAATACGCTCAGGCACCTACGTGGTCTCACTTATTTGCACTTTAGGCAACTGCTGCTGCAGTAGAGATGTGACTGCTGCGTATACTCGTGAGTTCCTTTGTGTCAGGGCATCAAACCTGTCTCTGCTTTGAGATCCCTTTCCTGCTGCCCCTTGCTTCCTCAGTAGGCAACAACAAGGAGAGATGAGCAGCACTTTTTCTGGCAGGAACATGTGATGTGATAAGGCTGTGGATTTATACCCCTTTTCTGGCTTCTTAACTGTCCAGCAGGAGCTGCTTGAGCAAGTGGCTTCATGACACTATTTATCTGGACTAACACGTGAAAGGGAGAGGTGAAATTCAGAGGGCACTCAGGTTCTGTTGTCTTTTGGGATTGGCTGGGAAGTGTGTTGTTACCAAGTGGCAGTGGAATCCAAGGGGAAATGGCCCCTGAGCAGTCTAATAAAAACTCTTGTTTTCAACGAAATGTGAATATGATACCTCTGACAGTTAACATGGAGAAAATAGTAGCCAAGAATTTTGAAAGCAGTTGATGACTTTGGATGACAACATGTTTTCATAAAATCTCAGATGCATCTCCTTTGCAAATGTGATCCCTTCTGAAAGGGGAAAATTGAAATCCCTGCTTACTTACAAAGATCTGAACCTGCAGTATTGTAGTGGTACCAAGAAATGATGAGAGATGTATATTTTAATTGTCTTGTGTTTTATTTATAGGATAATGCCAACCTTTTTGAGACCTATGATGTTGAACTTATAAAAAAGAACGGGCAAAGCCTGGGAATAACAATTGTTGGATACGCTGGCACATGTGATTTAGGTGAGTTCTGAGGGATTTAGTCAAGTCTGGGACAGAGGCTTTTCAAATACTCTTCCTTCACCACAGGGGAAATGGAGAGCACTTCTTTGAAACAGTATAACCTACAAACTGAAGATTTTTGAAGGACTTAGTGCAAAGTGAAATTGACCCACAAAATGTTTTTAAAGAGTTGCAATTACATTATAAAATGAGTCTCACTTGATGACTGGACTGTGAATTTTACATACTTGTGCTGTTACTGTGCAAGACATTAAACTGTACCGGGTTGCTCTTGCACATACAGACACTAACATAGGCAGGTTCCTGCCTACGCTGTTCCTTTATTTGCCCTGTGGTACATAACATAATTCAGGTGCAACATTTTAAGAAGAATATCAAAACCACTGTATCACGTGTCCCTGGTTTGCATCCAGTTTCATATGGCATCGTTACAAAATAGCTCAATGTGCATTTTCATTTATTTAATGAATTGTAGGTGCTAGAATGGAAATGATCAATCAGATTAAATAGTCCATCCCTCTGCCAGGCAGATGCAGAGAACCTCAGATGTATGTGATGTGTATGCCGCCTTCACAAGGTGATTTACCTCTCTGGTGGATGACTGCTCCGGTCTCTAAACCTAGGGAACAGACGAAAATACCTGTGCTAGGATGTAGGAACATGGAATTATTTTTCTTTTTTTGTAAATCCACTTTAAATTAGAGCTGTTTACTCATCTTTCACTTACTGGTTCCACAAATGATAGTACCTTCAGAAATGACTCACTGAATATCTGGTTTAACACGAAGGGGTGTTGCTTTTTCTTCCTTCCCCTTCCTCATGGGACTCAAGGAAGTGTCCTGGGAATGCGACACAGCTGGGGTTGCATTGCTGCCCTCGTAATTCCCAGGAGATTCTGTTGGCTTGCCACTCAGGAATCTCGGTGTGGTGAGCACTGGGAAGTGGGTCAGGGAGGTGCATGTTTGAGGCAAAGAGAAAAGGTGGCCTTGAAGCACCAGCAGAGGAGCTTCCTGAGCATGGACAAACCATGCTGGGCAGGTGTCTGCATGTTTAGTGTTCCCAAAAGGATGTCAAGGTTCATTAGGATTAAAGATCACTGTTATTTGTTTGGGGGTGGGGAGGGGAGTGGTGGTGCTGGTGGTGGACGGGTAGGGTTACTGTTTCAACTGATGATTTGTTTTAACTGTTTTTTGTTTGTTTGTTTTTATTTCCTACTTAGAAGTTAGAATTAATAATCGAACTTCAAACATGACAAAGGACAGCTTTTCTGATTGCCATGTTTCTCTCTCTCTCTTTTTTTTTTTTTTTTTTTAATCCCTTTTCATTAAGATTTAAAGGACTAAATTCTTTAGCTAGAAGAGGATGCTTGAAGTCTTGATCAAAGTACTTAAGCACATACTTTTAGCTTAGGTAGTCCTGTTGAAGTCAAATGCAGCATGGAATTCAGGTGATTGTGGCTTAAAGCTAAAGCCTTGTAGGCACAAGGGTGAATCCATGGAGGAGGTGGCCTTTTGTGAACCCCTTTAAAGAAAAATTACTGAGGTCAGTGTATTATAGGTGCTAGTACCAGTGCTGTTTTTTTGTTTTTTTTTCCTTCAGAGATCCTCAGTTATTCTGTGTCAAGCTGTTTAAAGTAGTAATGTGCAAATGTCAGTCTTTGCAGGATCATAACTGTGGACGAAAGCATGTGAAAAATGCTGGAAGTAAAAATATATATAATAATAATAATTAATTAGAAAAGAAACAGGTTAGCTTACTGACTTGTTTCTCTTCTTCATTTCCACCCCCAACAGAACCTTCAGGGATTTTTGTGAAAAATATAATTCCTGGTAGTGCTGCTGACCACAACGGCCAAATTCACGTTCATGACAAAATTGTTGCGGTAAGTAATTGGTGCTGTAAATGTTCTGCTTATGTATTGTGGAACTGATAGTTCAGTACGTGTCTCAGTAGTAGAAAAACAACTTAGTAAAGACTTTCTAATACTAATTAAACTTTCTCTGCTTTGTGGAGGACAGAATTTGGTAATTCATGTTTGTTTAGGTAGAACAGATGAAAGATCTTGAAGAGTTCTATTTTGAATTATTACAGAAATGAGTCGCTTTTTTCGGTTGTGGTTAAAATACTGTTTTTTCTGTTCAACAAAGTATTAAATAGTAGTTAACTATGAAAGAGGCAAGCATTTGGATTAAAATGTTTGAGTGGAGAATCTTGGCTTTTGGCCTAAAGTAAAGAAGAGAAGCATTAGCTTCTATTGAATTCAGTGGGACTTGAGGGTGGTTAAGATTTTGCAAGATGTGGCAGACTGTTTATGGTCCTTAATTAGAGTGTAGCATAGTGTGGATACAATCAAAATATTAATAGTCACAATTTAGGTTTCAAAACCCAAGCTTTATATGTAGAAAAATTAAAAACCTTTGAATAGGAATGAATTGAATAATGGCCAATTTTGCATTCACAGTACAAACAGGAATGAACTGCACCATCTTTTTGTTTTAAGAAATAATATAGAGAGAGAAATTACAAAGTAATTTAAAATCATGTGTGCTGGGCTGGACCTCCCAAAGTCAGCTTTTCCTTTATGACAACAAAATTTGATAAACCTTCTGCTTTTATCTGCAGTTTTTCAGGAGAAACCCCTATTGATGTATGATCTAATGGAGTGGGTAAACAGAGTGTTTTGTGTGTAAATTAAAAGATCTGAATTAAAGAATTAGCCTATTCACTTTTTTACTTTTCTAATGATGGCATATGAACACAGAAGAAGTTACTGTTGTTATCTTTTAAAATGTATTTTGAAAATTTTATCTGATTATTGAAATGTAACTGATTTTAATAAGATTGTTTTGCAAATACTAACGTCTTGGGTGTGAACAGCCTTATAACTCCTGCACAAAATGTGGACGTTACTTATGGTGTATGGTACAGCATAGGAATGTAACCTGGTTACTGTTATATGATTTAGGTTGATGGAGTTAACATACAGAATTATACCAACCAAGAAGTGGTGGAGGCATTGCGTAACACAGGACAGGTCGTACGCCTTACCTTACTTAGAAGGAAACCTTCTTCTACCGTTTCTTCAGAAAGATGTTCAGGTAAAGGTAATTCTAATTTTTTTTCCCCACCCCTTCCATTTTTCAGTAATAAATTTTATTTTCTGCTCCATTGACAACGACCTGATTTAATAATTAGGGCTAGATCTCACGTGATCCTAGATTTCATAAGGGCACTCTGTAGAAGATGACACTTCAGGAGGAATGAGAGAGAAACGAGGGCTTCTGGAAAACTGTGTGCCAAACTCCTGCGTAGCCAAAACAAACAGACAAAAAAGCAGTTAATGAGGTGGTGTTACTACTTCCTATATTTTGCAGCATCTGTCTGATTTATTTTTTCCCATCTATTTTCGCAGTGCAGCCAACTGTTCCAGCCTTAGTATCCCCTGGAGCTGTAGGGACTGAAACTAGTGTGGACAGTAAGAATGAGGAAATCCAAAAACAGAAGGATAATTTTCAGACTGAAAAGAAGCAAAGCCTGCATACATCAGGTGGATATAATATCTTGCAGCATCTCTTCTGATTCTTTGGAATTGCCTTTAATCCAGTGTGTATTTCTATACATGTACAAGATCACATGCGGTGGCATTGCAGCCCTTTCAATACTCTGGAATGAATCTCATCAGCTCTGCAGAGCTGACTTCCTCCAGTTCACCAATTCTTTCTATCCCTCGTCCCTCTCTGCTGACGTGAGGTGTTCTGCCTGCAATTTTCTGTCATCCTCCTCTGCTGTCAGGCCCCTGAACCAAACTGCAAAGTGAACAGCATGGCGATGAAGCATTTCTCCTTCTGACACAAGTCAGAGTCAGCTTCTACCCTCTTGGGAATTCACATTTGCTTTGTGATTCAGTGTTGCCTCAGTCGTATCTTCCTTCCAGCCCTCGCAGGTCTTAGGCTGTCACCTCTGCAGTCTTTTCAAAATAGTTTCCTGTACATCATCCCTGATGCCTACTTGCTCCTTGTTCTGGCACTGCTGCAACTTGATCGGAACCCACCTCCTGAGCTCCTTGACCTGGCCTCTTGCTGGCTGCAGCTCAGATCACAGGATCTTCTCTCAGAAGATTTGACTGAGTAGGGTTTGCTGAAGAACTGCAGCAGCAGGGACAGGGAATCACATCGTGTGACATCTCTGTTTTTAAGTCATTTTCCACATGGAGCATCCGTCTCAACCATGTACCAAGTGCCACATAACTGCCTTGCTCCTTTTTGCTTATCCTGCTTGTAGTGCTGCTGGTCGCTGATATTTCCTGGAGTGCTGGAGAAGCAGAAAGCCTAGCACAACTTCTGTCCATCTTCTGTGAGATTTCCCACTTGGCAGTGAGCCTCTCCTTGCTGTCTGCTCCTTCTGAGACCCAACTGATTTATCTGGTAGTACCGATACTGCTGAGTACTGCCTCCTCCCGTCCTACTGTTGGAAACTAGAGTTCAGACTCTAGATGTGCAATTTCTGGCTTGCTTGTCCTGAGCTTTCTAGCTGAACTGGGAAGTTTTTGACTACGTACCTATGTAGGAGGACAAGAATCTCTGGTCTGGCAAAGGCACAATAAAACCTGATGGCTGGAGTTGGAGGCCGGATGGGTGTTGAAATTAGGCGTGCGTTTTTAGCAGTAAAAGGCAGTTGGGCATAGCGACAGATCACAAAGGCATGGCTTGCTTTGGTTTTTAGCTGACTTGGGAATCAAGGCTGGAGGTCTTTCCAGAAGGCATGCTTCAAATCCTCTACAGATTTCTGGCCTCATCTACAGGAACTTCTGGGTGAATTTCTACAGCTTGTGTTGAAGTCAGCATAAATTATCCTTATGCCTTGTTTCTTAGATATGTAGATGCAATAGAGGAGTCTAAATTATGGCTGTCAATGAATAACAATTTTGCTATGACTGTGTAAGATCTGTCAGTATTAAAGACAACCTGGAAATGAGAGAAATGTTAGCAGTTCCTATGCTCCATTCTGTTTTACTTTTCTGTCCAAGCCTTATAACCAGACATCCTTTGTTGTGACTTCTGCATGTTCCCAGAAATAGGAAGCCAAAACAGAGGTGACTGAGTAGCTAAGATTTAAGGTTATCAAAGCATTGTTTTAGCAGTTGGAGTGGAAAAGCATATATTGATTTGTATTTACACTGGAGGAAGAAGTTAAGGACTTAGAAGTAAGACGTATTTAGGGGCAAAAGAGCCAGGAGGACTTCAGCAACATGCCAGAGACTAGAAGAGGAACACACACTGTCCTGTGTCATTTACCCAGTCCTTTTTTTTCTCCAAATACAGGGGAACTTTCTGTGCATAAAGTCTTTTCTTTTTCTACTGGAGTGAGCAGTATCTCTGCACTCAGTTCCTGATGGCTTGTGGTTGGGTTATCTTGTGTCACAGGCAGCAGATGTCTGCCCCGATGCAAAGAGAACTTTTGGAGGAATTTGTTACCTAATACCTCGTGCTGTGCAAATACAGTCTATCAGTGCCAGGATCAGTTTACATGGGGAACTGAAATTGCTTTTACCTGGCTTAGAACTAACAAACTCTCTTAGTCTCAAGGTATGTTATCTCGACATGCCTTAGTGGTCTCTGTGCTCCGAACAGTCAGCTTGGATCTAACTGAATTTTTGAGCCATTTCCGCAATATACCCAGACTTTTTTGATACAGATCCATTGCCTCTCCATAAATTCTCCAAACCCCATAATTTCTAAAGGCATTTGTAACCAAGTTATATGTGTATGCGTGGCGCCCCCTCATTTCTCACCTTGTGCCAACCTCATAATCCCTTTTCTTGGAGCACTCTGGAGTATGGTGCAGATGCACCCGGGTCTGGCAAATACTTTGCTGCCTGGAATTCCTAGCTCCTGGCTGGGCCTGTGCTGATTGCTTGCAGAGGCAGCGTGGTGTATGTGCACTGCATTACCCAGTGCATCACATAGCAAGGATACTACGGATTTCTCTGTTCTCCTGTGTGTCCGAGCTCCCCTTACCCTGGGTAATACAGCTTAAGGTGTTCATACGTGGAGTGTGTTTTGGGACACCAACATTTAAATGCTGCAGATATTGTTTGTTTGCAGCTGGATATTGCCCTTGATACCATCTGGTAGTGCTGGTCCTCCTTGGACCTACAGGATATGAAATGGGCATGGTTTTCAAACTGAGTAAGGAATCAGTGGCCTTCAATGAAACAATAAGCAAGTATCATTGTTTGATTAAACTGATTTTTCATAGGGGAAAAAAACCCTTAAAGTTACAAAGCACTGCAAGAGCTTTTTTGCAGCTATAAAATAGGTGTGTGTATATATCTTTGTTAAAAGGTTGAAATACTTAGTTGCAAATTTTATTCATACTGAAATACGATGTATAAGATTTCACCTCCGAGTAGAATTTAGTGGCCAAGTTTAAATTCCAAAGATAGGTGCTTATTTTGGACATGGTGATGGACACTTCATTATAATGGTGCTAAAGTAAATACTGCTAATTTAAGGCTCTGACTAAACTCTGGAAATGCTTTTAAAAAGTTTAATGCAAAAGGTATGTTTTATAAAAATATGTATTACTTCCTTTTAAGCCCAGTTGTGTGAAATTCTTATTAAATTGTGTTTCCTGGAGAGGTATTAAATACTAATTCTGGCCAGGCAACACCATGATTAAACAGTGCTGTTACAAAGGCAACATGGTTTAGGATGCAATGTGCATGAGGCCTGAAACTTTCTGCTAGCAGACTACAGGCAATTAACTTAACAGCTGCATCTGCAAGACTGCAGACTGGGCAGAACTGCTTCCCTTTGCCTTGCAGCAGTACTCAAAAACCCGAAGATATGATGATGCTAGCCAGGAGCTTAAAGACGTCTGGAGAAAAACATCCAGCAGCAGGGAAGATAAAGGTGATGCATTACTGAAGGGTGGTAGAGCACAGGACGCACCCTTGTGAGTTCGTGAAATCTGGAAGAGATTGTAAGAAGAAAATATTCCAGTTTTGAAGATGCCAGCAATTTTGACCAGGAAAGATGATTTTTACAATACGCTTACGTTTTATTCTTGACACTATCTAACAAGAAGGGAAAAACTGTATGGAAGTGCAGGCAGAGGGGCAGGACTGTAGTTATATGTTGAAGTTGTTGCAAATGAAAGCTGTCTCTGGGAAGCGTTTTAATTTCTGAAGCCTTATACATTCCAGAAGAGGTACATATCTCAGGTCATGAGAAATCCAGCTGGATGAGAGACTAAAAAAGCAACTTCCTACGAACTGCCATGTGGAAAAAGCTGTTTGGGGGGAAAAAGGAGCATTTGAAGTGACTTGGGTGATACCATTGAAATTAAATGTATCTAATCCAAGGCCCTTCATCCAACCTTCCACGGTTCTGAGGAAGTTACAAGCAAAGACTTCAGAGGGTGTTAGAAAGGAAGAAAGGGGGCAACTTCAAATGGGGACGTGCATCAACAGCTGCTCTGAACAACCCGTGGATTCTGGTATCATGTTCAAGAAGTGACAGAGAAATTTGTATTCAGCCAACTGAACACAGCTTTCAGTTGTTGAACTGAACTGTGAGCCTGACCCTAAGGTTCATTACTCCTGGTGAACTTGAAAATCCACATTTGGCTACACAGGGGACTGCAGGTGCTTAGGTGCTGTGTGTCCATGTGATAGCTTTGCAAGAGCAGCAAAAGAAATCAATGAATTTTTGTCCCTATGCATTTTTGCAAATAGAAGGAGTAGAAAGATGTGCTGGTGCTGGTGCTCTGTCTTTGCTACAGTTGGGAAATAAAGATAGTGATCAGCCTGCGCTTGATAACAGCTCACAAAGATGACTTCCCTTTAGAAACTTCAATTAAATTCAAATGGAGGAAAAAGCCTCAAGTCACAGCCCAGAATTTCAGGACAGCTTGGCTTTTCCTTTTTAAAGAAGATAATTTATTTCAAAGCGAACTGTGGTCTGTATTTAAAAGCCCAAGTTTTTATTATTGGTGGGGTTTGGTTTTGATGACAGCAAATAGTTATTTGAATTGCTGGAGAAACCTTGGATATCTGAATCTCCTTGAGCCTTATGTTTAAAGGTGCCCTGGATATTTCCAAGAGAAATCTGACTTGTTGGGCTCTTTGCAAAGTAGTTTCTCGGTGTAGATCAGACAGAATTTGCCTATCTGGCATGACAGAAAGTGATGGAAGAGATATAATTATGTTGTATAAGTTAACTTAAATCCTTATTTTTAATGAGTGGAAAACTTCAAAGTTATAAAATGATGTAATGAGGATCCTATTGCAAAGCTCACGTGTTTTATCTTTGCAATCTGTGAAGGTGTTGAAAGCAACGGCAGTTAGGCATGCCGTTTGTCTTGGCTTTTCCTCATAGGTAGGCTCTGAGCTTCTTGGTGTCTTCAGAATCCCCCCCGAGGTATTTTGCTTGCTAGTTTGTGCGCAAAATGTGAGGTGGTGATTTACATCCAAAATTTCGGAGTGACACTGGCAGTACTGAGTGGTCTGTGCCTCGTCTAGACATCTGACAAACTAGTGCAGCCATTCGGGGGGGAAAGAAAAAAAAAAAAAGTCAGTTTTCAGTAATTCAGACCCCAGTTGCTGCTGCTGTGGCTGCTAGATGGAATTTGTTTTAAAGTTTGATTCTTACCAGTTAAACATTGCTTCAGCGTGGAACTTTATATGTGTGCTGAGCTTCTGGCTGAGGTCAAACGCAGGGCAGCCAGTCATTTTCTGCTGTCTAGCTCTGTCAAATTGTCTTACATGAATGTAATACTGCCTTGGTTGCATAAGTAAGAAAGCTGAAAAGATATAAATGTCAAGATAGCCAAGTTCCCACGGAAGACTGGTTTGGAACTGGAGCTTATATTAAAGCTCATGTTACTTACTGGCCTAATTAAACTAGACATACCTGCCAAATGCAGAAATAAAGTGTACGACTGCATTGTGCTTACGCAGCTCCTTGATACCAGCAATATCTTGTCAGGTGTTTCGCTTCTTAAGGGGCTTCGTTTTGGTGGGAGATAATGCTCCCTTGGAGTGGCAAGCGGTTTTATAGCAACAAATTATGCAGTTGTGTGAAATTTATTTTGCAGCCTGAAAGAATGATTTATTTACAGTACTATATGGTACAGAACTCACATCTCATCAACGCAAGCATCACCTCTTCTGCCACTCAGTTGAATAAATCACACTTTAGCACTAGCTGACATTTTGCATTGTTTTCCTAAGAGCGTCGTTTTTGATTTGCACTGATAGACTCAGCTTAATGCAATTTCCTTTTTGTGATTATTCCCTGTAATCTTTTATTTACACTGAATTTTTATTGAAGTATTTAGAAGCAAATGTACTTCTGAATGTAAAATGTGCTTGTAAATTTAATACTTGCTTTCATATTTAGGAAGAGTCCCATTTCCTCCAGCATATGAGCTGAAATCCAAGTGGGAAAACCTGCTGGGACCTGAATATGAAGTTATGGTATGTTATCTTTCAATGAACTACACTCATGTATGTGTTGTTTTTTTGTGTTTTTTCTTTTTTATTTTTTTTTAATTACACATCTGTGAGCTTATCATTACAGGCTGTTTATAGAACAGCTCAGTGTTTGGAACAGATCAGTAACATCAAATTTTGCTTCCATTAACATCAAGGCTGAAATACAGAAATTGTATAATTAATATATTTTAAAAAACTGTTTATATGGATACTACTGTTATATAGAAACTAGACAAAAACAGGAGTATAAAAAAAATCAGCTGTCCTTTTAAATCTACATCACAGCAGCCACTTAAATCACAAAAATAACACATCTTTTCATTTATGATCTGTTTGTTTTATTGTGCACTGGGAAAAAACGGCTCAGAGTAGAGCTCCCATGTTTCATGAAGAATCTTACGATCTTATTAGAAGAATGAAAGAATGATTTTCAAACATACTGGGAAAATAGCAAGTAATTCAAGGTAGTGTAACTTTATGGTGCCAGTGCCTATTAGATATTTCTTCACCTCGTATTAAATGATTGCTAAGCAAAAGATTATTTTGATGAACTGTCATAAGGAGTTGACTGAAATTGTAATTCAGTACTGCTTTTCAGGGCTGCGTTAGCCAGGGAGTGCAGATAAAAGTCTCCAGCCAATGCTCTTTCTGAAGCCTTAAGGAATTCTCATTGCCACCACCAAAATGCCCTGTTTGTCTTTGCATTGCTTGTCCAATTGATTTAGAGACACTTATATTTACTACTCGGAGTAGCCATCATTCCAATTGCTCGCTGGAAGATTTAAAGTAGCTTTAAGAATTGTCTTGAGAAACTTGCTTCTCTTCTTTCCATTAGCACTCCTTTAAGATCTGAGGTTCGTATAAGATTATGTACATGATGTAATAAATCTGTTTGGCTGCCCACTTCAGTTGCTTGATATTCCCATCCTTGCATTTCAGGAGTCTGATATTTCTTCCCTTAGCACTATCGCGCTTCCTGCAGAGGACGAAAACCTGCTTAGTGTGTGAAACTGCCTGATCCTAATTCTTCTTGAGCTGCCGCCAGTGGGATGGCAGGAGTGAGAATCATAGCATCGTTTCTGTTGGAAAGGACCCTGTAGCTCAAGTCCAGCTATCACCCAAACACCGCCAAGTCCGTGGTGACACCGTGGCCCTGAGGGCCACCTCCATGCCCCTCTTAAATCCCTCCAGGGTCTGTGGCTCTACCGCTTCCCTGGACAGCCAGTTCCAGCCCCTAACCACCCTGTCTGTGAAGAAATGCTTGCTAATATCCACTCTGGACCTCCCCTGGCACGAGTTGAGGCCGCTTAGTGTTAATAGTTGTTAAAATGTTAATAGTTGGGCCTGTTAAATAATAGAAGGAAACTGTTATGGCAGCCTGGTTGGAAAGTCGGTTTTGGGTTCTTCCGGGTTTTGTTATCTGAGCCTCCCTCAGGTCGTGCTTGGCTGTGTTTGTAGCAGCGTTTAGCTTGAGTTCAGCCTGCTCAGCCCCTGTTCACACTGCTTCGCCCCTACACTCAGCTCCCTGAACCTCCCCTGAAGGTGACCGCAAGTTGGAGTCCTTCCCCCCACTATTCCCGAGCTGTTTGACGAGAGGATTTAGTGTCACTCGCGGCCTCTGTGTTTCCGATCCTCTGTGGCACCAACTCAGGGAACGAAACTGAGATCCTGCTGAAGTGGAAGGAGACCCTAGGAGCCCGTGGGGGGATTTATGGCTGTGTGGTATCTGATGCCAAGTACCTAACCGTGAAGAGCCAAGCGGAGGAGTTATCAGTCATAGATTCATTTAGTTACAACTGAACGGACACCAAATGGATTCTGTCTTTTGGGAAAAACACCCTTAGTACTGGAAAACAGGATGCTGGGAGCCTTATATAAAGTTAAGCTGAAAGAAAAAGCAGAGATGTAACATTGCTTTGTAGATACTTTGTTAAACTAGAAACTTCAAAAGGAGCCTGAAGGAAAACAGTTACCTGATTTTTGCAAGGCTATTTATGTTTCCAGTTCTAACAAGTGTAGCAATCCTCCCAGACATGCTCAATTTCAGTATCCCAAGCTCCAACCTTGGGCTGTGGATCACTATAGATTTCATCTCACTACAATTAACATTTGAATAAATAACCCTCTAAGGTTACAGATAAATTCTGTTAAGGAAGAACATTGCAAGAAAATTGGTGGTAAATGTTATGGTTGTTTTATTCAAATAAATAAACTAAAGGTATACTGAAGGGATTTCTTGTCTGAGTTCTAAATGATCCATTTTCCATTCAAATTTGGTAATTAAAATAATGTATTTCAAGCCATGTTAGAAACATGCTGCAAGAGATTGTGGTTTAGTCTAGATGGTAGATGGCTGTTCTGTATCCTGAAGTAATAACAATTTAAGCTATCGTACTTTTCAAATTCTGATTGGCGAGTTGCTGTGCGTATTTGTGTCAAACATAATGGCATTTTGTGCTTATACAGGATTACTGGACTTGACTAAAATCGTCGTTCAGACTTCAAGAATAGGATAATGTTAGGGTCTGCTAATAGTGCATAATCACAACATTCCTAAATGTAAATGTTGTGCATCTAAAACACTTTTCTGACACTCGTTTAAAATTATTTTGCATCAATATGACTTTGTTTAAATATAGCTTTTTTTTTTTTAGCTTTTTTTTTTTTTTGGTGGTTGTTGTTTTTTGGTCCAGAATTGACAATTCTGGTAATGTCCTTATTGTCCTGCTGTTGAAAAATGTTATGCTGTACAATTTTTAGGTTGTGAATGTGGATATGCCCATTACGGATGACTCAGAGCTCCAGAAGTACTCAAAGGTATGACTTGCATGATTTCCTTCATGGCAGAATAATTCCAGGAGGGCATGATTCAAAATTCAAGATTTGTGTATTTCAGAAATTTTGAGAGGTTCCAGCTTTCTGTCAGTCTTGCTTTTCCAAAAGAGGTTGTCCACGTCCTGCTTATTTTCTGGACTGGTCCAAAACTTTTTCGTAGTATGGGCAAATGCACCTTAAAAAAAGAAAAATGCACCTTCAAACAAACAAACAAACAAACAAAAACAAGAAAAGAAAAAAAGAAAAAAAAAAAAAGATGAAGCTTAAGGAAAGGCATAAAAAGGATGTACACATGTAAGACTCAAATTGTCAGGTACTTAATTGTATTAAAATTCAGTTCTGGAATAATTGTTGAAAGTCACTACAGGATGGAGCAGAGGTTGAAACTCTGCTAACAGTGTTGTGGTCCTGCTGAGGGATTTGCCATAATGATCCTGTCTTGTGGTGGGGCATCCTTTAGTTGGAATGGTCAGAGCTGAAATTAATTTCTGTCTTCTGAAACTTTTGATAAATGTTTCTGATACGTATGTTCATGTTGTGCAAAACAAATTTTTGTAAGTGATCCATTTGTATGCTCGTGGGGATGTCTTAGTGAGGAAAGGCCACAAGCACATAATCAAGCAATGGTTGTGAGGAAATGCTAAGGATCGATGGCTTACTCCTTTGACTTGAATATTCAAAATAAACTGGGGAAACCAAAGGAGAGTGAGTGTTTCAACTTCGGTAATAAAAAGTCAGAAAATTGCCAACCTGAAGAATCAGAAACTGCTGATTATCTTTACCTCCTCTCCCCAGATTGCCATGATTCCTGCTGTCTTTTCTGGATAAGGCATCACTTTTATGCTAGTCTTCCTAATACAAAGACACTCATGATTGGAAGCTTCCTCGAGGGGGGGAAACAACTTGAGAAAAGGCTAACACAAAGTGATTGATTTTTACATAGCAGAAATAAGGATGCCAGTACTGTTAGATGTTTGCAGGGGGCTCTTCGTGGATACTTTTTCTACCTCCAAAGTAGTGTAGACCCTCAAGGAACAAGACAGCTGGTCCTGTTGTTATTGACCTAGTATAAAGTGGTGATGATGGAATTTCTGTCAGCTTTGTTGAAACTCACCTTTTGGGTAGGATAGACTTTAGGTGGTACTCGTCTTCCCTACATTTTTTTCAGTATGCTAACATTATTTAAGAGTACAGTGCAAATTGCCTTTTCCCCCAAAGGACTGACAGGTTGTTTTGACTTGTGCAAATGGTTTACAAAGAGAAATGATAGACCCTTGTGCTATAACACAGATGAGGTCAATTGAAGATTTAATCATCTCACTGGGTGTTTTGTTTCATTTGGCGAGCTGTTGAATCTCAAATGTGTTTGCATTATGGTAGATACAGATGCATATTGCCTCATTTTTTGACAGCTATTACCCATCCACACTTTGAGATTAGGAGTTGAGCTTGACACGTTTGATGGGCATCATTACATCTCATCAATTGCTTCAGATGGCCCTGCTGCAACACTTGGTCTTCTGCAACTGGAGGATGAACTTCTAGAGGTAAAAACAAAACAAAAAAAAGCACTAATATATTCTTTAATCCTTCTTTAAAAGACTCGTATTAATTTTCAGTTTGTCTGCAGCATGTGCAGTAATTAAATTAAAGAGCTGATTGTGGAAGCAGCTAGAGCAGTGCTTTGGAAGTCCGACAGTTGTTTTCTTCAGTATTTCATTCCTCCTTTATGGACAGAACGGTGGCTTCCTGTGACCTCTTAGTGACTTCATGCTTTTTTCTGAAGTGTTTAATATGATTATCAGGAATCATAAGGGTAGAGAGAATGTATTGAATGTACTTGTGTCTGTGATCCTTCAGCCTTTTGAGCAATTTAGCATTAGCTTTTGCACTCTGCATGGTGGGTAATCTTTCTTAATATTTGTCACTTCTAAAAAATTTACAGCAGTCTCAGAAAGAATGATTCCTGTTAAGCATTATAACTTAGTGGTTGAGTGTTGAAAGACAGTCGTGTTCGAGGTAGTATATCGGTTTGTTTAAATATGTATAAAGAGGTGTTGGGACACCTTTGAAGTTACCAGAATCAGGCTGGACCCATCAGCTCGGGAAAAATAGGCAATTAATAGTATTAAAAATATATTATCTGTTTTGTGTGTGTATGTATAACTGTCAACATCTCAGCCTGCAGATAGTAATTAACATTTCCTGTTGAACACTGTCTCTTAGTGGAATGTTTTGAATTTGAGTTTTTTTAGTGGATGCAAAGAACATTTAATTGACATCAGTGGGAACAGAATTAGGCCTTCTGAAAGATTAATTTGGTAGCTGCACCGCTCTATTGCCTTTACTTGTTGTTCACCATTTAACATCAAAAATTTATACTGATATAAGACCTAAAACATTTTTTTCAGTTATCACTTAATGGAGGAAATCTTGATTCCTGAAGGAAGGGATTAATGGAATGCTGAAAGTGTTGTTTAAATTTCTTGGCCACTAAACAAAAAATTGTATACTAAAAGCAATATGCTAAAGAGTGCTATAGAGTAACTTAGGGAACATTAATTGTATATATTTTAAACAATTCTACTTATTACTGTGTGTTTACAATTAAGTTCACAGATACGTTCAGACCTAGTGAGCATACTTTTTTTTTTCTACTCTGTAGCTGGAAAAAAAATAACCAACAAAATAAAAATGTGCTCCAGGGCTAAAGCTATGTATGCCAGGTTTAGCCCAGAGTGTGTTTTTGCAGCCAAGTTATAAATCCCTTTAAGTACGGGTTTGCAATGGAAAAAGTGACAGCCACATTCCCCAAACAAGCAGCTCTACCTGGGCCTGATACAGTTGGGATTAAAATGTGATCAGTACAGGAATTTTCTTTAATATGCAGAGGGTTGAATGCTGATTATTTTTAATGATGTGTTTGAATTATGATAGAAAGCACGGTATTTTCTTTTTTTTTCTCTAGTTTAAGCTAATTTCATTGTGTTCTTTTTTAGGAGTAAATTGCTTCCTTGTGTCCTAGTTTTGTTAGTTGAAATTTCACTGACTCCTATTTGATAGTGCAAGTAACTACAGGGCTGTGGTAACTGAATGGGGTATTTGGCACCTTGTGTGTTTAGAGGCTTATTTCTGGCAGCTTGAAAAGGAGAAATGGGAGTCCCCAAGTCTGCTTGGGAGTGCACAGTAGCTCTTCTCCATCAATCACAATATGCTGAGAAATGCTGGTAACTTTCCACCACACTGCCACTCTCAATGCATTAAAAAATCCTTACGCGTAGATACTTCTGTTTAAATAATTAACTAATGGATTAGCCTGATAGCTCAGCAGTTGCTGCAATTCTTACAGGAAAAAAATGTGGCAGTTCATCTTACCATGTTGGAGACGAGCTACACCACTTTGAATTTTCTCCTTAGCTGGCTTTTAGGAGGAGAGAAACTCCATGTTTCTCAGTAGTATAAGCTACGTTTACACTGTAAAAAGTAGGAAGAAAAGATGGGGAAAAAAAAGAAAATGATGTCTAAAGTGAGATTGCAGTGTGGTCTTGCACAAAACTGAGCCCATGTAAAGCACAGGGAGATCTGTGGTTTCTTGGAAATTTGGAAAATAGAATTTTTCTTTTTAAAGTCCAACAAATGAGCCTAACGCTAAAAAGAAAAAAAAAAAAAGCCCATCAGAGAAGCAGGTGAATATGAAATAACAATGCCAGGAAAGCTTTGGAGTAGAAAAAGTGGTGAGCAGAAGAGTTGTAGGGAGCTGAAGAGAGCAGAGACGTGATGTAGCAGAAGTCACAAGATCTTGCAGATGAAGTTCAACATTTATAATAATGCATGTGTACTTAAGAAGCATGTGTTAATAAAACTATACAAGCTTTGCTGGAATCCCTTGGTAAAAGTAGATTTTCATATGCAGTTGGGAAAGACAAATAGACAAAAATAATAAAAGAATCTGGTTGACATCCTTTTAAATAACTTAGTGTGGATGTGTTTTGCCTCCTGTGCAGGTAAATGGAGTTCAGCTGTATGGAAAGTCACGCCGTGAGGCAATCACTTTTCTGAAAGAAGTGCCACCTCCTTTTACGATGGTTTGCTGTCGGCGACTTTTTGATGATGGCAGTGAGTCTCTTTTGGATGAACCCATTGTGGAAGTTTCACCTCCAGAACAAAAGGTAGACTTCTCACATCATTCAGTTAGGTATAAGGACAACAACTTTTGTCTTGGGAAAGTGCGTGTTTCTGAGAGACAGAGTTTTCTTTTGTTGTTTGATCCAGACTTTTCAGCAGTCTTAACATTTCTTAAAATATATTTGTAGTTATACAAGTTATTTTTGTATTCAGTTGTCATGTACGGCTACCTTTAGGCTTGTAAGTGACTTTGGGCTTGTAAGTGGCTGCTGGTGTTTCGTTGAAAGATGGTTCATGTTTGCAGCAGTGTTACTTTGACTGCAGTTTATACAGGTTGGTCATGAGAAACTTCGTTGTACTATAAATACAAGGTAGGTAAATCACCAAGCTAGCATGCTGACTGTGTACATCCCATTCATCATTCTTACACCTAATAGGTGAGTGGGAGCTTTGAATTATACTAAATCACATCCTTGCTGCCATTAGCTGATTACTTCCATGTTCTGAGTAGTTTTTTTTATAGAACTGGAAAAATATTAAGTTTAATGTTTCTTTCCATTGCAGAAGCTTTAAAGTCTCAAACTAGAGCTTGATGCTTGTAACGGTTGTTCCTATTTATAAAATGTATTTACACCTTGATTTCTCATCTTCTCTGATGTAATCTCCTGTAAGCTAGGATTTCTGGGAGGAGAGTTAAACATGAAATATGGACATCTCATGGAAGAGTAGGGTGCACAGTACCTTGTTGTAAAAGGCCCTTTGTGTTGCAGATACAACTTGATCCAGTGTGGGTTTTTGATCCTGCATTTTAGAGAACATTTTCTACATGCAGACTGTCAGTTGCATATCTTTGCCATAAATCAATACAGGATGAACAGAGGTCACGTTTTCCATAGAGTAGTTTCACAATATTTCTGCTTTCTTTTGACAAAATAACAAGATGGAGCATGTGTGTGAGGGGAAAATCCTTCCTTTTGCATCATAGTAGTGCTCTGTGTGCTAGACATATCTGTCCAAAGAAATGAAATTAAATGTGTGAAGTTACAGTTGTAACATTTTTTCTTGTGACATCATATAGTGACAGTTTGTAAAGATTGTATTGGTAAACTATCATGTAGGTTAGAACATGCATTTTAAGTTAGACAAAAAAAGATGCCTTTTTGGAAGATGTGTTTATGAAGCTGTTCTGAACAGTTAAATTGCGTAACTATACCTCTTTCACAATTTTTTGATGAGGTGTAAAAGAAAGAAACTGTTTTGTTTGGGGGGGGGGGGGGGGGGAAGATAGCACTTATAGTTACAATTTTAGAGATTGTTGTCTACATATTTAATGCCACAAGTGTCTGAACATCTCTCTAATATCTGGTCTTTCCATAAGCTGACTGTGACTGGTTAAATCTTTTATGCTAAGACATTTATTTTTCCTTTATGCATCTAATGGGACAGCTGAGGTTCATCAACATGTAACAGGTTAGTAATGTTGCTATGATTAATTTGTCTAACACGTAGGTATTCATATGCCAGGTTGGGCTGCAGTGCTCAGAACACATAGGCATAGGAGCAAGGGAGTATACAAGGCAGCAAGTTGGAGAAGGTACCGCTATCTAAAACTGGATTAGGTGTTCAAAGAAGTTGTAATTCAGTAAAAGGTCATATTTTAGGGCATGTATTCCCCATTAATAATAACCAAACTTTTAATAGTGCTTGTAAAGAACTCCAAAGCATAGTATTTGAACTAGAGTTTTTATTTTTCAGGTGAAACCTGAGGAAGACATTAATCCTGAAGAAGAAGAAGGGGAATTAGCATTATGGTCTCCTGATGTGAAGGTTATTGAACTAGAGAAAGACAAAAATGGCTTAGGATTCAGCATTTTAGACTATCAGGTATACTTTTTGTATCACTAAATATTAAAAATTCCTTTGATCCTTTGTTTTATATGGTGCCTTAAAGTGTTTTGTGATGTTGATTATTGGGTCAAGTCATCACCTTGGAGCTTTGGCCTCGAAACTCCGTAGGGAAAAGTAATTTATTTCTAGGCCAACTCTATAAAGTATAGTGTGCAGCTTATTCAAAACTAGTCTGATTATTGACTGCGATAAAGTGCAAAATTTCTAATCAAATTCTGCCTCATAACTCTGAGTTTAATGGCTAAATGTTGGGGGAGTTGATTTTCCTTGTTTGTTTTATTTTGTTTTAACTTAGAATGACTTCTCGGGTATGAGAGTGCAAGAAAACTTTCTTAGGTATTGCAATATCACTTTTTATGTACCATATTTAATTATTTTTTTTCTTTCTGCCCTCGCTGCCCCAGATCACTTTTATTTATAAATGCAATGCTAGTCTGCATTCTATGGTCCCGCTCAAGTCGTGGAAAGATTCACCATTTCAGGCATTGAATCAAGCCATAAAAGCAAAGCTATCTGATTTCAAAGGAGAGTTTATGAAGTTAAAGTTTTACCATGACTGCCCTTCACAGTCAAATAGAATGTCAGGGCTCACAGGTGACTGTGTCACAAACTTAAGTTTCTGTAAAATATAAATTTGCTTTAATGAATTGCTTTAATGTATTAGTATAATAGTGATCGAAGAACCTAGTTAACAAAATTTTCAGTTATGCCTCCCTGCTTAAACTATTAAACTAGCATGCTGGAGATGAAGGTAGAATTTTCAGTATTTAAAAAAAAAAAAGAAAAAAAAAAACTTTCAGTAGCCATTTATAGCTTAAAAGTGATTTATCCAAGAAGAAACACTTTTGTACAGGTTATATGCTTAATTGTTAAATTCTTTAGAAATCAACAGAAAAGTGTTTAACTGGAGGAAAATTCTTCCATAGTTAATCCTTCTTTCCAAAATATTGGCTTCAATTGAATGTATAGAAACTCAAAATCTGAAATCGGAATGAAATGTTAATTTTTGTAGTCAACAGGGTATATTTTTTAACTTCTAACCATCATACTTGTAAGGAAATAAAACAGTTGGATCACTCTTCATAATAATATACACATCACATCTGAGTGCTGCCTTAACATTGTAGTTCAATAAAATGTATTCAACTGTTCTGCATAAATGTCAAGTGATATAAAATTCAATCATACTTTTGATACAATAGGACATGAATTGGGGGTGAATTAAAGTAAAAAATATCTGAAGTATTATGCAAAACCATTAATTCTATATTTTACCAGTGTGATTTAAGATTACTGAAAATAGATCCTGTTAGTCATTTTCACTGACACATGTTGTGTTACAGTGCCAGCTTTACTGCAGAGTTGCTAGGAGTCTTTACAGAGCAGTAATACACAGATTTGCTTTTAAGTTCTCATATAATCAGAATTAATGAAGGCTTTAATAACAGGCTTTTTATTTACTTATTCACAGATGCAAATACATGAGCAATGTTGTGATACTTTCTGCTAAATTTAAATATATTCTAATCAGTTCTAAATGAGTGGTAAACCACTTAATCTCAGATCTTTATAATTTCAAGACAAGATATTTGTGCATAAAGTATGCTCTTTTGTTTGGGATTTGCCTCTTAGATCTTCTACACTTTTTATCATCTGCAGATTAATTTTTATATAGATATCTGTGGTTGTGTGTGCATTCATGTAAATATATCCATCATATTCTTGAGTGCAGCGCAAAGAAAACAAGTAATTGTCGGTGCTAGATTAGAGGGGAGGAAAAATTTGTGTGGTTACTGGGAGACTGTTCAGAATTGCTAAAGCAAGTTTGCTGAAAAGCACAAAATTACAGTGAAGTTTATAATTGTGGTTTAAAGGATCTGGATATCCAACTCTGGTTTTGACTCTTTTTTTTTAATTACCCTTTTAAAAATAATGAAAGCTTTGAGCCACGTACTCTTTGTTTTGTGAAAAGAGATTCAAGGCTTCTAGTGGCAAGTACACTGTTTGCACTTATATCCACTGTTCATCTAAAAAAAAATCATAGGATTACTTGATGAGCAAATCCGAGATGAATATGCACATGGCTTAGCTTCATGCATCTCAGAGAGGTGCATCAGTGACAAACCAACCCTTCTAGACTCCCATTAGTGTTGGTGGAGGCAGGGTTGGGAGGGAATGACTTTTTGAGAGGTGAGTCTGAGAAGGGCTGTTCTTGGTGCTGAGGTTTACACTCAAAGTGATTCTCTCTGTTTGTTATAGAAGCTTAAGGAAACTTTGGTGTTAGGTGCCCAGCTCAGAGGGGATGTGAATATTCTGGGTTGCACTACTGGTGTATACCAGCCCATTTCAGTCACTGCTTGTTGGGGACTGGTGACTGTTATCTGCAGTATTTAAGAACCCCTGAAGCCTGCTGCTCCTCCAGACATGCTTGTGCTGGGGTCTGCTCTGCCGATGAGCAAAGCCAGATGTGCTGCAGAAGTGGAAGAATGCTAATTAGACACTGGGCTGCTCAGGGTGCCCTGCAAGTATTTTACTACTGCATTCTCTGAAGCATTTTGAAGCACAAGGCTTTTCACCTTTCCATCTTAATTTTGATTATAGGACACGGCGTGGTGCTGAATGTTCTCCTAGTATATCATTAATGCCTTTTGTCATCTGTTTTCTCAAAACGGACAGCATGCTTGGGGTAAGGGATATCATGCTTCAGTTGTCTGAAACACTGCAGTCCCCGTGTCATGCTCTGAACAAACAGTATTAATGAAAACTCTTAGCGGGGTAGAAGAGGCATCGGAGTACTTAGAAAACTGAGTGCTGAGATCGAGAAATTATTACTCTGGTATATGAATTTTTAATGGGCTGTCTTTCTAATAATGTTTCATCTATCAAACAAATGATAAGCATATCCCAAGTGGCTTACAGGATATTCCCAGAAATGCACAAGCATAATTCCAATGCCTATATATTTTAATGAACTAATTACAAATTAATTATACCAATTATGCTAAATCAATGGTATTGCTGCTTTGTCCTGTGTTTTCTTTTGTCCGTGTTGAGGGATTTAGGTGCTCAAAACAGAGCCTTCTCTGTTATTTATTTATTAATTAAGGCCATCTTTGGAGGGCTGTTCAGGTGTTCCTAAAACTTTGGGATGCCATTAGAGACCTAGAGTAGACATAGCCTTTTTGTCATGACAGGGTTGTATTTGTGGTGTTCAGCTTCACAGGATCACTGTGTATAAAAAGATCTCTTTCCCTTTTTGACTGAATGTCTGAATTTCTAAATACTTAGCAGGAAATGTTAAAATCTTTGAAACTGGCTCCTTGCTAGCGAGGCTAATACTTGCTGAGGGGGGAGGTAGATGGGAAGGGCTGATCTCGGGCTGTGTTTCTTGAAATGATTGCTTTCAATGGATTTTTTTTTTTTCCCTTCCCACCGTGATGGCTTATTTAAATAACGAGCGTCGAAGAGGCATTAGAAAGAAACCTTCTGTGTATTTTCCCATTGTCACCGCTGTGTTGGGATCTTGTCAAAGCTCTCAGGCAGGGCAGTGCTTTGCCTTGATAAAGCCTGGCTGCCGGGCCCGCTGAGGGAGGCTCGGCCTGCAGCCCACTTTCGGTGGCGATAAGGCCTCGCATCGTGCCACCAGGGACCGAGCAGCAGCCTCCTGGTACGGCTCCACCTCGAGCAGTGACCTTCCCCCCTCCCCCGGCCATTAAAAAGGTGTGCTGCTCGGTCCTCGGGCCAACTTCTCTCTGAAGCAATATACTCTACCTCCCGTAATTTCCTTGTAATTTCACTTGGAGGAGTTGCTCTCTTTTTCACCTCTTAACTAACTTTTATGTGGTGTTGCTGGCACAGTTAGCGGCAAGCGGGTTTTGATGGTGAGTGAGGGACCCGGCGCGCAGCTTGGAGAGTGCTTTGGGATCATCTGTGATGCAAAGAGCTACGCCAGCGGGTTTGAAAGCTTCCAGCTTGTTGGTAACTTTGTCTAGCCTGGAGCTAAACCTCCGAGCCTGCAGTCAGGAGCTGAGCTGTTGTTATTGAGACCAGCCCCTTTTCGTAGAAAGAAATGAAGATGGAAGAGGGCACGGTGTGTCGGCAGGTTAAATGCAGGAGAAATGCCGAATAAAAACGGCTGCGGTCCCAGGGGGTGAGGCGGAGAGGGAAGGAAAATCACACAAGATGAAGACTTTAAGAGAGAAAAGCGATCCCATTAGTGTAAAGGGTACTTTGTGTAGCCCTGAAACAGTGTTTAGCAAAGACCTGGTGCACGCAGGCAAAGGGATTCTGTCAGTGCTGTTTTACAGAAATATCGGAAAAACCACAGGTAGCTGAGTCGCAGATTTCTTGAGGCAGTATTGACCAGAAGGCAACTTGAAGGGCCTGATGAGCTTTTATCAAATTAAACAAAAAGCTGAATGGACTTTATTTGGAGCTTAATTTACTGTGCTTTGAAGTCGGAGTATTTTAAAGCAGCTGTTTTAAGTGTGTGAAACTAGAGAGGACGAGGCTTGGAGTGGAGGGGGCTGACATTTGACGTGGTTTGTAGGATCGCCTGGGAGATGCTGTGCTTGGAGGGCAAGTCCCCGAGCACCCGGCTGCCCCAGAGACCTTGGGGGTCAGGAGCTCACGGGGTCAAGGTGGGTGTAAATACCTGCACATCCCTGCAGGTGGTACCAGGCACGGCCACACCAGCACATCGTGCTACCCAGACCCGAGGCAGCATGAAGCGTGCCTGCCTTCACCTCCCGGGTCAGTGCTTAGCGGGTTTTTCCTGTGATCTGGCTACAGGGACTCCACAGCTGCCTTATTCCTGGGGTTGTCTTCATTATCGTTATTTCTTTTTCTCGCTGTCGAGCTGAAGTCTTTCTCGCTGCACATTCAGCAGGTTCTGTTCTGCCCTTTTCCCAGGGAGCATGGGAAACGAGCGTTTTCTTTTTTACAACAAAATCGCTGCGCGGTCATTCACAACAGGA